AGTATTTGGATTTTAATTTTTTAAGTAAACCGCATAATGGAAAATAGTAATTTTAAATTAATAACTGACGTTAGTCGGCTCTTTTTCTACCGAAGAAAGTTCCCGTTCATTACTTACTTTAAATAAATGTGTTTTTGTTTGAAAAAGGTCAAATAATATTCTGTTAAATAGGAAAATAAATCCTCTTTTCGTATACCTAACCTAAAATATAACTAAATACGTGGATAAGATACATTATTTAAAAAATTTAATTTTGAAATTCCCATTTCGTATAATATCATGTAATTACACCATTTGCATTTGGCCATCTATAAGGAAAATTCATTAGTACAAAAGGGTATAAATCAATAGTACATTATTTTGTATTTTTTTTTTTTTATCTCCTGAAGAATTATACAACTTGACTTTTACTCTTTTTTACGTATACCATCTAAATTAACTAAATATTTAATACCTATTTAAATTTTCGAAAAAATTTAATACATGGTTAACTTATAGTATCGTAAAAACCTAAAATAAACTTGCAATCGGTATCGTCTATCGTACCATTTCCAGATGCTTAGGTATTTAGTTTTTTGCTGCTTCAAGGCAAATTTAAAAAGACAACTCCCTACTATAGTGGTTTCCAATTTTGTTTTATACAAGATTTTCTAATTCATTCGTCTATTTTTACACAGAACATTTTTATTGGTTGATTATCCGATACTCACTGATTAAACACAAGTGTATTAATATCAATAATATATTCGAAATTTAAATACTATTTTAATTTATATATTGCGAAATTATAAATATTATAATTAAAAAAAAAAAAAAATGTTTACAAATTAACTAATTGTAAAAATAAATATATACGTATGGCATTTTTTTTTTCACCGAATGCTTTTATCGCGTCTTCGATTTCCAGTTCTGACGTTAATTCGTTTTCAATGAATAATATCGCAAACGCGTTTAATCTTTCTCGGCCCATTGTCGATCTTTAGTAATTTTTTATTATTTTTAAATAGGAAAATTACCTTTCTGCTGAAATATGTGTGGCTGGAGTTCAAACAAATATATTTAGCATAATAAAAAATATATCTCGAATTATACAATGTGCGTTCGTAGATCGATTTTGTGCGATTTCATTTCTTTTATTCGTACTCCAAGAATATTTTAATTGAATGTTAAGTGCTGTAATACAATATACGATGCAAAATATTACCTATACATTTATTATGCAAAGTGTACGGCAACCAGCGATCGCTTCTACTTGACACGTTTGAGGAGGGCTAATTTCTTTGTCTGTACGTTTTTAACCACCTAAACCCCTCCCCCCGATTTCCGCCTACGCTCGTTACGGTCAAAACACGGCTCCTGTTATATGCGAGCGAACTTTTCGTGCCGAAACCGTGCGACTATATGTTGATATATTATACGCACGTGTCGAACTCTTCGGCTGTTTCGTATAGACTCTGACACGTGTTATACGCGGTATAGTGACAGACGTGTATGGATAAAAAATATACGAAAATAATCAATATTCCGGATAAAGTTATTTTGCGTCTCCGCGCGGAAGCCGTCCGGAAACCTTTTGTCAAACAGAACAAATCTCCCGGGAAACCGATCGTCGAGACGACTCGAACGACGGTGGCCGCGCGATTTAATTTAAAACCGATAGCTAATTAATTAAACAGCATAATACGACTGTTGCAGTGTATACATTGCCCGCGGTGCCCGTCGTTGGACGGTTTCTGTATCGCGTTCAACAATTGGCGCAGGCCTTTGTGAACGCCGGCTTCGAATCGGAGGAACGTGTCGACCGAACGCAAACTTTTTGACAATTGTGTATCCGTTAAACGTCACTATTAAATCGCGGTTAATGAAAAATCGATAAACTTTATAATTTTTTTCAAACAAAATCGGTTAAATTCAGTAAATACGCGCTAAAATGCCGTTCTCGGTCGGTTCCTTTGGTTCTAAGCCGACGATATCCCGTTGCGTATTCCTCGCAGTTTCCGAAACTGTGTGCAATTTTCTAAATATAAGTTAATATAAGTTTTGAGAAAAAAAAAACCCTAACAGCACTGCTCCATGAGCTTTAGCGTCACCGGAAATGCATTTTTACCCGCCTATTTCGGTATCAACGGAAATATCCTTTGTAATACGGCTAATGCGTTGTAGTGGTGTACTAGGTACCTACTATACAGCTTCACTATTATTATACTACATCCAAATAAAAAACTATTTATCATTAAAATGGCGGCTGCAGACATTGAAAATTAAAATACCGAAAAAGAATATCCTCTCAACGTCTGCGCAACACAAACGGTATAATACAGGTTGTCCCATGCAACTATACCCGAACTATACCCGTCGCAATATCTCCTGAAATAATAAAGATAATCAAATTCTGTTTTTTACATAACTCTCAGGGATAAGGTCTACAAATATTTATATTTGAATTAAATTTTTATGTTTTGTAAATAATAACTAAAAAAATTACTTTTATTTTATTATTTTCGAAAAATTTAAAGATAGCCACAGTTAGTTCTTCTGGAAATTTTGACGTTTCTACTTTTTATTTGCGTTAAATTTCTGGTTTTTAATAAAACAATTTTAGTTTTAGAGAAAAATTCGCAAAAATTTTATGCAATAGGCCGTAATCGCATTCGCTCATTATTTACTATTATTGTTACTGTTAACTGACTGTACGCTTTTTTTCTTAGAAAATACAAATTTCAAATTTCAAAATTTCTAGAAAAATAAACTCTATTAAATGGCTATCTTCAGATTTGAATATCTATACGGAAAACGAATTTTTGAACTACGCCGCAAATATAATTTCATTAAATAAAAGCGATTTCTGCACAAGAATATACGACCGTAGTGCTCGACGACCATCGCGAATAGTGTAACGTGATTTTCTTCGCTATCCCCCTCCCTCCCTTATCTCTACACCGTTCTATACCTCTATATCGAATATTCAAGACCGATCGGACAGTCAATGGGCCTCTGGCTCGTAACCATTTGTCTTGTCGTTTCCGGTCGAAGGTGGCGAGACGAGTCGCCCGCATCACGTGTATGTTTATCGAAAGAGTCCTTTTCGAAAGGATCACGGGCGGCGGACTTACGTGACGGCGAAAAAAAACCCATGTACGCATCTTATTCATTTTGTTGTTGTTGTTTTCTTTTTTTTTTTTTGTCGAAATTTAATTTACGTCCGTCGAACGGGAAATCGAATTCACGTCCACAAACCTCGTGGACCCATTTCACGCGTCACTCTTTATAATCGCGGTGCCCGACCTCCGTTTTCGCGTTCACCGTTCTCGCGTACGTCGTGCCGTACCTGTGTGTACGTGTTAAACTTTTACTTCCTACACCCCGAAGGACAAGCATTTTACCATTCGTTTATTTTTTTTTCTCACGTAGAAATTTCTCAACCTCACCAACGTTGTTGATTATTTTGATTTTGATATCATTTTATTTAAATTCATTATCTTTTAATTTTTAAAATAAAATAATTTTTTAATATATTTTTTTTCTAGGTTATTTTTGGGGTTTTCCAATACATTACGTCACCAGCCGTACTCGTTATTAATATATGATCAGCCAACGTAATTTCGAGTCGTAATGTCATGTTCGAACCAACGGGTAGTTTTCAATCCGAATTGCCATAATCGAATCTTCTTTTCTTCTTCCGCGATTTCAGGAATAGTACTCTCAAATCTCTATAATATTGTGTATTAAGTAGATTAAGTAAACCCATATTATATTATTAAGTAGATGTAAGTATCGCCGCGAATTTCGTAATCTAAAAGTGTGTGTTATTTGTTATTTGCCCAAGGAAAGCGATAGCGCCGTTATCGGAACGGTCACAAACAAATAACGTTTTTATTCTCCGTACCTAATATCCCATTGGTTTAAAACCAGTAAGACATCGAAATAAGCACTGCAACTTCGTCGTAACAAAACTTGTCGATGTAACTAACCTGCATTGTGTATAAAATAAAATAATGAATATAACGAAATATTCGATTTATATTTATGTATATATTTTTTTTATTTTTGTTTCAGGTATTTTATTATAAACAGTTATTGGCCATAACGAAACGAATTCGACGAGACGCGAAATGCGTTCGTTTATTACTCGCAGTTCATAAATCGTTCAATGTTCTAATAATAAGTATGACCCGTACCTGTACAACTGGTAAATATCAAAATAATTTAAAAATAATATATATATATATTCCGGACAAGTTTTTTTTAAAAAAAAAAAACGTATTCTTAATTTTAAACATCATCTGAGCAAATGTTTTGGTTTTTTTTTTTTTTTTTTTAATTAAAATTCACCTCAACTCCGCTTTGTAAAATTATTGTTTAAAAAAAATTGATAAAGTTTTTTGTCATGCTCCTTTATTATAATAATTTTCTCGTTTCGCGTGACAACAAAGACAACTACTATAAAAAAAAAAAAAAAAAACTAATTCAACTCTTGAAATCCCGGAAAGGAAAACGCCAAATATATTCCGATTAATTCGTAATATGTAATAATATTATAGTTGGTAAAGTTAAATACAATATAATTTTATGCACATATTGAATACGCACAATCTAAATCGGATATAATATTTTTAAAAAAACGCTCGTGAGAAACGGAGCTCCGTCATTAGAGTCAAATCCCCTCTTTATTAAGTACAACAAAACAACAAACAATAATTGTAATAATAATACAATATACCTACAAATTTCAAAATAAAAAAATTAAATTTTATTAAAAAACCGGGTGAGCGCTTATAGGTTGACTTCCCTAAAGTGCATTTTTGACATTAATGCATAACATTGTACTCTCCATGGCTTCATTCGGGGGTTCTGTAAGGGTGTAATAAGTTAAAAATATACCATCCTCCCACATGATTCAATTCATATTGAATTTCAACATAACTGTAATCACTTAGCGTTCTGCCTATAGAACTAGGTACTCTAATTCCCGAATATGAATTCATTCGGTCCTCTAAAGATCTCCAAAAGTGTGTAGTGGTAAAATGATATATATCAGACACAATACAGTACCTACCAATGTTTCTATTTTCGGAGGAAACTTGGCAGCAAAAAAAGGGGGAAGTGTACCCCTTATTCCTTGACGGAATTTAGTTAGTAGCCGATTTGTATTTATCCAACTTAAATACGTATTGTATGTACAAATAGATAAAGTAAACAGCGGTATAGAAATATCGGCCGCTAAAGTTAATGTTGTTTCAAAAACGGGACGAATTCAGGACACGTGTCAGTTTTCTGTGACTCTTGTAGAATTTCGTTTTTATGGTTTTTCGTATTTAACCTTTCTGTAATTAACGATACATACAATGCAATATATGTTACGGCTAATGTAAAGTGAATATTTGCCTGTTATCAAACTTAAAGATAAGAACAACGGGTTTTTTTTCGATACACGCATCTTTCTAGCGAGATCCGAGCATGTGAAACATTATACAATTTAAAAATCATCGTTGGCAATTGATATTGAAAAACCGCGAACATTGGCGTCTTGAACTTCAAACAAAATAGAAGCGAATGCAAATCATTTTTTTTATATTTATCACGCACGTCCACCACAATCCAGCAATTTGTACGATACATGTAGCCGCTTTAATATACGTTTAGCACAATGCTCGTCCTAATCATTAAAATTTCACAAAAAACCACTCGCCCACCGTATAAAATCCAAAAGCAGTCGCTTATGAAAACCGTGGTTCGCTACGCCTGCACTGACCGCGAAAAACCCGACGTGTACAAAAGCACAGACAATATTACGTTCCCGACACCTTACGGTTTTGATAATAAACCGACTCGCCGTAATCGTATTAAAACCAACGGCGCGAAATCGGTTCTACCGACCGAAAAGTCGACACCATCGAATTTTAAACGTTAGCCGTGCCGTATAAAATTTGAATATACTTGTCTGTGTGATATGTTTAAAGCGTATTAGCGTTATATTTTAACGAAATCCTATAGATAACGATATTTATCCCCGGGGGATATTACAAGGACATCAGTCGGAAACATGACGTTATATTATTATTATATGTTTACAATATTCGAGCGCGTCTCGTTATAACGATGACAATATATTATTATGCGGGTGGTAAATAATATTATCCCGTTATATTTATTTTCACCGTAGTACATAATATATCAATTTAAACGAACGTGCACGGTATACGTACATGCGGAATGTGAACCGTCGAAATAATGCATGAGATAACCGTGATGTGCTAATAATACGATATTTTCATCTGTATAGAACCCGTATAGTATCCGTGATATGAAAAACGATTTTCAGGTGTCCATCATAGACAGCGTAAAAAAAAAAAAAATAATAGTTTTTATTTTAACGCGTAACAATGATAATTTTTAATTTATTTCAAGAAGGTATACGGGGTGATCAATCAATCGTAAAACACTCATCATCTCGGAAAGTGATAACTTTTTTTTCGAAATTTGTCTTAAAGAACATTTAAGAAACAATATGTTCTAAAATCTAACATTTACATTATTTTGTATCGCTCTAGTATTTGGGGATGAAACGACTACCTACATTTGATTTTCAAATGGCAACCTTGAACCTATATAAAAAATTTCATAAATAGATGGAGTAGTAGTTTAAATACATTTTGATGTTTAAAATTGTAATTTCCCTCAGTCCGTTGACGAGATATTCCTTTTTTTAAGTTTTGGTCGGAGGAGAATAGAGTAGAGCGTCATTTATGTGGCAGCACAGCGTGCGGTATTTTAAGAATGTACCACTACTCTCCCTTGACCCGAAATTAAAAGTGGAATATCTCATCAACGAATTGACGGAAATTGAAAATTTAAACACTAACATTTATTTTAACTAATCATTCATATATTTATGAAATTTTCACTATAGGTTGCCATTTAAAAATCAAAAGTAGATGACAGTACTTTTACACCACAAAGTTAGAGTGATAAAAAATAACATAAATGTAAAATTGAATAGCCGCTTGTTTCTAAAATGTTTTATAAAACAAATGTCAAAAAGAGTTAATACTTTTCGAGATAACGAGTGTCTTGTGATAGATTGATCACTCTGTATAGCCACTTTAAAACCGAAACATATTAACAAATACTAAAAATACTGTAAGTAGTTATGGCCTAACAGTCTGTCTAATACGTTTTTTCGAACGCGAAAACTTGAGGAATCGACAAATGGTCGTAGTACCATTTGTCCACGTATTCACTAAAATTATTGAGACGATTAAAATTAGTTTTTTATTTTGGTTTTATCGAACGAATAGATAATATTATAGTGTCATCATTTGAAGGATCCCAACACTGTTTCCGTAGAAGTTTCCCGGTAATAACGGTTTTTTTTTCTTTTGGCTTCGGCATTGACATAGTTTTATACCGCATTTTTATGCAACACGCATAATGTAGAGGTAATCATTCGGTACGAAAATGATACACAGTTAATATAATCTCGCTAACGTACATACACGGGTAACACATCAACGCCATTCGTGTACACTATCTGGCGGTTCGGCGAGCCATTAAGACGTATAATATTAATGAGACTCTGTCGCGAATAAATAGGCAGTTTACTTCATTTAACATTAGATGGGAATTCGGCTCCTCAAAAACGCGCGCCGTTATTGTTCACATATAATACGGTACTCGTTGCGAGTGACGTCTACGCGAATAAGTTATACAGGGTCGTCTGAATCGCGTGCTACTGCAGTTTTAATAGTGGACGGTACCCATGTACACTATACAGTATATACTACTTTCGAAACCGTAGCACACGATTTAGAATACTCTGTAAAGGTTTTTTTTTATGGTAAACGGTGATCGTACACGCCACTGTTATTTTTTTCTAGTGGAAATCGTGAACATTTTTTGTTTTTTTGTCTTTTCGCTTAGTAATGTGTACCGTGCCGTTTTCAAAAAATATAATGATAATACTGTCGCGGGAAAAATAATAATAATGGTATTATTATTGTAATTTACAATGATATATATATAATCCGTATATACATTCAAACGAATGAATATTAACCTGAATGCCTGTATTATTTGTGCGTCGCCGTTTGAAAAAAAAAAGTCTGATATTGCTGATGGGATGCCATTGTTTCGGGAGAAAAGTTGGAAGGGAGCACATATAATAAATTATTTATATCATGATACACTATTGCTAATGAAAGACAATTCCGAGCAGAGCATTATCAGTCGTATTTTCCCCCTGTTTCCAAACCTAGAAAGTAGAAATCAAGATTAAGCAAATTACAAATCAATAAATAACTTCCTCAGTGCATCAACTAGACTTAAAATTTTACAAGAATGTTCGTACAAAGTTTTTGATTGGAACAATATCACTCGTAGAAAAGTTGTTTAAAAATATACACACAAAAAAAATGCCGTAATATTCCTCGCTTCTCTCAAAATCTAAACAGACGTTCATTAAATATGAAAAGAAAAATTGCTAAACACATAAACACAAGTACCAAATTAATTGTATTATCTATACTTATATATTTTATTATTAAAAATCGAAATTACTGATGTGGATGTTCCGCAGGTGTATATTCGTATTAAAAAAAGTTGGGTGGATCATATAACCAATGAAGAAGTCTTTTAAAGAATAGGAATGGGAAAAAGCTTCCTAAAAGCCTTGAAAATAATGGGAGTTAAATAAATTGGACATACGCTACGACATAACAATCTATAAGAAAGAATTATAGAGGGATACATAGAAGGGAAGAACAGCACATAGGAAGACCACCTCTCGATCATACAGGTCAAGTAGCTATAGAGATATAGGATGCACTATATTTATTACGATTCAAAAATGAAAGCAGAGCGGCAGGAAGAATGGAGGGATGCTGTCAACCAGCCCATGGAAAAAAAGATAAAATACCGGATCGAAATGCCATCTTATGGCCGTTCGCGAGACAATTCGAACTTTAAATAATCAGTAATACTGTCGGGCATTACAGGCGTTTCGTTCGCGAAACATGAATCATATAGATTTCACAAAATCGCGTGTACAGCGCAAGTATATCGTAATATTATTGTGTAAAAATACGCGTTCGTCTGCTCATCAAAACACACGCTATATATTATTCAACGTCAATTACGGCGGCGGCGTACACTACAGAGTTCGTCTATGATTAATACAATACGGACCAATATCCGTTTTGCCGCGGTTTGATATAGCGAATTTTCGCGAAAAGTAATACATAATAATAATACGATCTCGTTCAAACGCGTTCCGAATACACGACCTGCGGTGTTACAACACGATGTAATATTTCATTATAAGCATCACCGCACTACTACTACGTCGTTATTCCGATAAACAATAAAATAAGATAGTGTACGATTAATTCCTGTCGCGTTAATTTCCGTTCGATCATACGGCGCACCCAGGTACTGAAGCGGCCTATTAACCGTAGTAGTTTGTTAATACATCCGAGTCCGTGATGGAGGGGGGAAATTCGAAGGGAAGATTGATCTCGTTGATCCGCGTTCGCAACACTCTGTGAACGAATAAAAAAAAAATAATAACAAACCGCCCCGCTAAGATTCTTGTATGTACAATATACTTTACTGCTGTTTATGCGTACCTTTTTTCTTTTTCTTTTTTTTTATTGCTCCGTTAAATTCGTGGAAATTGTATTATTAATAATGTTCTCAGGATAGCGAAAACGCGGGCATGGAGAACAATGCCGTAGGCCCCTGCAAATTTTTAAGGGCCGAGTGCACGTGCACCGTCTGCACTCGCGTTAATCCGGACCCGGTATAGGTATCCGCGCAGTCGTTTTCCGCTAATAATAATAATAATAATTAACGGTCCAGACAAAGGCCAACAAATGTGATATTTAAGCGCGTAAGAGACCGTATAGACGCATACATATATGCGTATGTAGTGCACGGCCGAATTTCGTAATTTTAATGGAATAGCCGGTGGTTTTACACGCCGTTTAGTCGTTTTGCAGTATACCTACACAATAATAATAATAATAATTATTACCTGTTATAACCGTTAGTTAGCTGTATACGTGTACCGCAGTACTTTCGCCCTGTTCGAATGTCCGCCCAAAAGTGCTCTAATAATAATCGCATATATTATGTTAACCGGGCGGAAAAATATAACAATTTCTGTTTATTCCGCCGGTATGTATACCCATTATACAGGGCGATTCCCTGAACCGCCGATTTTCTCCGAGGATTTTAACGAATTCAATTGTTGTTTTGTTGTTCAGTTTTAATCGTTGAAGAATCGTTAAGCTATTTATTCTAATACTGTTTTCAGTATTTCGTCCCTACCGAAATAAGAACCCATTTTGAATTTTTAAATAGCAACCTCCTCTTCCTCTCATTAAATCACAAACTTAAAAAGAGAATAACAGTAACATCAGACGTATCATTTATAAGTTATAAGAGTCTAAATTCTAGACTGGAGGGACAGGAAAAAGTAATAAATTGTGTACCTATTTTTAAACGAGTAATTGATTACTCTGGCCGCAAACAATAGAATTGAAAATAGTATTAAAATAAATCTCATACGATTGCATAATGAATAAAAAAAAAAAAAAACACAAATCAAAAATAAACTTGAAATTCTCCGGGAAAAAGTCTAGTTCACGATAAAAAAATCGCTCTGTGTTAGCCGTTAGAGATTGTTTGAAAAATATTGAAAATCCGTAGCCACGATTATTTTTGTTTACATGTTAAAACATTTGTATAAACATAATTTATCGCATTTCTTATGAGTAATTATTCAACCATACCAGTCATGTGTTTACAATCATCTGTGGCCCATAAAAAAATGAAATCTGGGCATAATTTACTTTATATAAAATATCGTATGTACAATGAAAATCAAAATTCCATATCATATATAAGCCGTTTAATGGACTTATAACAAAATGTCCTACTCATATGAGGCCGATTTAAGGAGGGGGCGATTAGGCGATCATCATTCCCAAGCTCCCTCGAACAGAATACAAATATTCGCTTGCTTACCCAGCCACGAAGGTCTAGTCACGCGTATGCGTTTAAATTAGGAAGGATAGATGATTCGATACCTAGTTAGGTATTTTCGATGTTTAAGAAATTAACTATTCAATATCGATATCAAGGTAATTTCGTTTTGAACTTGAGAGTTTATTGAAGTAGAATTATGAATGATAACGTATTTTAACCACATCACGGATAAAGAAATTATTATTTTTTAATTCGTAATAATATATATTCTTACACAGGGCCGTGTTAAGAAGAAGACCATGATGAAGGCATTTAACTCGGGACGCCAAGGCATTTTAAAACTATATGAGACGCTAAGCTTGATTTAAAACTTGAAAATGTTGAAATTTTAATAGGGATTTGGTAAAATTGTACAAGATACTGAAATCGTTGAAATTAATCCCCCAAATCATCCCCAGGTCTTCAGGAGAGAGGCGCTTGCAAATTGATCCAAATGGCTTAACACGACTCTGTTTTTTTTTTTTATTTAAATTCAAAATAGTCTATTATAATAGTAAATAATATTTGTATTTAGTTAAAAAAAAAAAGACATCAAATATTGAAATAACAAGATAATTAAATAAAACAATATAATTATAAAATCTTTTGGGTACGTTCGAAAAGTATATTTGTTGGCGGTTTCAATGTGTTTCACTGGTTTATATTGCATATATTAATATGAATAATAACAATCCCGTACGGACGGTATACATTTTATTATGATAACGCAATTAAAAAAAAACCCCTCGAATTTACAACATTTTGTCGAATTTCCTCCGAAAATAGACTATTCCGCTATATTGTGAATGTCTTTTCCCGGCTATTGTTGGACATCTCTAGATGCTCCCTTTGGAAATATTGTGTTTAAACTCTGGTATTGGTTTTCGGGCGACTTGAAGTGATTGTGAAAGTTCGATTGAATTCTAATATGCTTGTAATAATATTTTTGTCGATTTTTTTCACACCAGAACAATCGAATTAAGTACGTCGATAGTATAATTAGGTCTCCTGGGGATTTCAACTTTTGGCCTCCCTCCTTCACAGCCGTTTTTATGATCAAACTTCATATTGTACATTTTTTTTATCTGAAATGAAAGCAATAATTGTATAGTATATAGTATAGTGTTACTTTAATATTCGGTTACTAATTGTTTAGTAAAATTCTATAATAGTCGAAGGGAAAATTTGACTCTAGTGACGGAGATTTACCGCTCTCGAGTGTTTTTATTTTGAACCGTATAGTGCACTGCGCGGAGTAAAACTACGCGAAATTATAACAAAACGTAAGAAGTTAAAGGAGTAATTTAATTCAAATAAAAAGAAAAACCTCCGAAACTTTTTTATCCAATGTGCGCGTAAAAAATGGCGTATCGATGTTTTTGTTTTTTTTTTTATTCCATTTGAAAGTTTATAGATTTTCAGAAATAAAAATTACGAATAATTGACCAACATATGGAATTGGCGTATTAATTCGTTCAAATAAACTTTTTTCCGTCTCGTATCTCGGTTTCTAGACGCCAAAAATAAATAATTAAGTTAGATTTTTTTTTTTCAAAAATCCTAGTTTTATAAAACCGCCGAAAATAATCCGAAAACTGTTGTTAAACAAAATGCATTAGACGAGTATATGAATTCCATAACGCAATTACTTTATAAACAAAAAAAAAATCAGAATATTGATTATGAAAATCATCTGTTGAACAAATGAAAAGTCGTTGAAAACGAGGGCCAGCCGTTTCCGCGGCCGCACGAATAGCTTGCGACTTTTTAGATTAAATACTATGCAAAGGCGGCGGCGACTTTCATTGCTCGTTCGTGCGTTTTCAAAATAATACCGCGAAAATTCGCCCGAACGACTATTACGAAAACGCGGAAAATATTTAACGAAATGTTTAATAATGTTCCAATGTAAATCAAAGAGAAAAAATGATCATTGTACAGTAGAGGTATGTGTGTACAAAAAGAACAGAGAACATTAATCTTCGGTGAAAAAAAAAAAACAACCGGTATAAATCTTAAACAGTGTTGTTACGCTAACCGACCGACGATAATAATATAATTTAAATATTCAACGATCGGCTGGGAAAAAAAAAAAAAAAAAAAAACGATAGCATTTACTCAAAGTCAGAGTTATAAATGCGTTTTATGAGCGCCGAAATTAATGCGAAAGTCGTTAGACGAAATGTTATACTGCAGATAGTTACGAAAGTGCGATAAAGTTAGAAAGTTGAACGTAAAATTCACCTATACATGTTTGTACCAACATTAAAAGAAAAAAGAAAAAACCGAACGAGTCGCGAAATTGTTTAAATTTTATTGCGTCCCACGCGCACGAACCGTCCGGACCTTTTGTATACGCGATCCGAAGAAGACTTTTGTACCGCTCGCGTTTTATACGATATGCCTCACCGCGAAAATCCGACCGAATGATTACTCCACAATACATATCCATTATTATGATAATGCGTGCGCAAAAAACACAACCTATACTTGTGTACTTAACGTATCGACCGGCTCTGCGTGCGCACGTCATGAAATACCGCCACGATACACCACGTCCTTTATATGTTACGACGTTTTCTCCGGCCCTAACGATGAGGACCGTGTAACTGGAGATTTTCGTACAGACCGCGATCATTATCTATTTAAAACCGATCGGAGCCCGAGCCTCGCGTTTCATACCCGCCTCGCTCCAAAACCGAATACCATCACAAAGCTATTTGATTTTACTCAAATATTTTATAATCGCTCTAAACGCTCTAATCGTTTTTTATTCGCACCCAGAATTATCGTCGTTACTTATCTGTCTGTCGGTTTGATACGTTCTACGGGTAACAATAGTGATGGATATTCAAAATCCATTACACGGTGTAATGCGAAATGTAGAAGTACCTCATCCGCGCTTGGCCCTAACTGTACATCGGCATCCTTCTAATTCGATATTATTCGCGGGCACCATAGACGGATGGAGGGGAATTAGGAAAGCGCAGTCAATTTATGAACACCGTGATGTCTATGTGGTCCCGAGTGCGCGCAAGTATTATAGGTACATCATATTATTATGCATTGACGTTTGAACCATCAATTCGTTTACATACTGCCGGTACAGGAAGACGCGTAGTACGCATATTCTGACAACTGACGTATAATTGCATATCATAAACTATGTATAGGTATATCTCGGGTAAAAGTTTCCACTCGTGCCTCGGGCGAACAGGGAGTTTGGAACACGGTCGGAAATCACTCGCGTGCGAATGCAGCGATCCGTAAAAGTACTTAAAACAGAGCTCGCGATGTACAGGCACTCGAAAACGCTGACAAAATTCACGCCTCGAGACGGCGTCCTTTTTTAATTTTTTTTTTTTTAACGTTAATGTTTATAATAGTATTCAAAGTAACGACGGCGTTCCGAAAACACGATCCGGAACGGAGCTCGTTGTTACATTATCACATTAGTCATTACTATATTTTACTCGTAGTTTCTGAAGAATCATTTTACGAACCGATAAAATACCGAGACGATAAAAATCGATTAATTCAAAAATTATTCAACGAGATATTAACATTACGTGTTCGCGATAAACGGTAAAAAAATGATACAAAAAACAACAAATACCTTTAGTACTCGGGAAAAAACGATCCTCATAAATTACGAATTGGTAACGAAGTTCAATTTCTCTTTTGTCCTCTCACGGCCATCACGGTAAAACTATAATATAATAATACTGTGACTTCTTCGGGCTACTTAAAAACCAAGGCGTTTCACACTTTCTATATCATAATTGTATGTAAAACACCAGTTCGTCTCATAGCTTTTTCGTGGATCTCCGGTAGATGACATATTGCCAACCGCCCAATAATCCAAATCTGTTTATACTCTGTTTACTCACCTATACATCTTCGAATGGAATAGTAGGATAGTGTATTCATAGTAAGATAGGAGGATTTCGAGAAAGTCGTATATAAAAATATGCACAATTATATCGCCGAAGAATTGAGTCACCGCCTAGGACCAATATCCCTGCCATGGCTACTTCTTTTGATTTTGTTCACAAGATTTCTTGACACGCGTCCGCCAATATTATCAAATATAATTTGACTACGCTGGTATGACGGCATTTCAATTTATATAATCGAATTATTCGAATACAATGGAAAGTTTGCCGGAATTAAACGGCTTTGATATTGAGTATACAATCAAATGAAAAGTTTTGTTCTTTTGACAACACGCGGATGTTTTAAGGTATCGGAACGCGTGCTATTATGATATTATTAATTATTATTGGTTGCAATATATAACGTAAAACCGTATAGTCTAAACCGAATGAATAATGTACAAAAACCGATGCATTCGATAGTTATCGACGAATCGATAGAATTTGATAGGGATAATGGCGGACGTACAAAAGGCGAACGGTATTATAGTCAGATCAAACGACGTGATATAACGTCGCACGTTTGGCGACAAGAGATTTGAATGAGTAATTAAGCCGAGAAAATTGGATTTACGATGAACCGGGCGCGTTTTCCGTCTGCTGCAGGTGTAAAAAGAGAAGGGAGGGAGCTTTGATGACGTTTAATCGCGATCAAATAGCAATACGCGATAACAACAATTAATTATTGTCGGTCTTGCACAACGAGGTATAGCAGCCGATTTTGTGCAAATGGTACGGCATAGTTATAGCAACGTTGCTTACCCGTGTTTGCATTTGATCATTATCATTGTAAGTTATATCGGGATAGTAATCAATCGGAAAAAAAAAATAATAATAATCGACCATGACGAAAAATTATTCCAAACAGCCCGTTATAGGATAGCCTATGTAGGAATGCCTATAACCGCAGCGTTCAATATCATTGTGTATTTATTTCGAACGAAATATTATATTCTTTAAAAAACGTACGACATTCTGGGATCGAAAGTTAAAAAGCCCATAGAAATAATATGGTTTGTCGTTATAATAGTTTTAGAAAAACGTGCCTACGAAAAACGAGCGAGTGATAAACATTTTTTTTTTTTTTTTTTTTTAATACATTCTATTTTTCACGACATAAGATTTTAATCGTTGAACGCACAAGCAATATTACGATAATATGACCGAGAAAAAATCGCATTATATCAAAAACTAAAGCCAATCGGTTTTTATTATAAAGCTGTCTCGATAAACTGCTATGAACACGAGACGGGCTGACAATGTATAAATTATAATAATGTTAGACTTGATCGGGTTTTCCGATATTTTCTCGCCGTCGATCACACCATTTTCGTTAACGGAAATGTCAATACAGTTCTACATAATATAACGATACTCGCGGCTAAGCGGTAAGCCGGCCAACTGTAAACTGTTTAAGTCGTAAATAAGCGATTTTTCACATACAATCCGAAAGAACGTCGCTTACCCACCAAAAACGTGTAACTGAATTAAGTCACCCGAATTCGTTATTTTTTTAAAATTCTCTTTAACTTAGCTTATTTATTATTAAAGACCGGTTTTAATTGCATTTAAAACACACAAAAATTGCATATTAAAACTATATATAAGCGCAACGAAAAATACGTAAAAGTTGCATAAAAAATTATACTATAAAAAGGCAAAAGTTATGTAGAAAAAAATTAATAAATGTTACTTTTTTTAATTAAAATTAACAATAGGATACATTTCTAAATTATTTTCATTAAAATTAAATCTTCTATTACCTAAAATATATTAGTACAAAGAAAAACTACGTTCTACGTCTACACCAGTTATTGGTACATATTTAAAACAATTTAATAAAATAGGCGTTAGATCTAAATTAACATTCGCTTTACCTGACATGACTTCATAGCAAGACTTTACAATTTTATATCTCTCATTTTTTTCAATTACATTCATACATTTTTCTTTAAGTTTTTCCCCGTTTGGACCAAGAATATTTGTAAAATATCTTCAATTTTTCTAAAAGTATCTATGCTTTTCAGTTGTTCACGATTAGTTTATTCCAAATTTTTAAGATTCATGGATAACTCGGATAAGTATATTTTTATGAATGCTAAAACACATCTGATTGCATTATTTTGTACATTCTGTTTCAACTTTTCAACACTTGTAGCGTCATCTATTAAACTTTCAACCGCGTTTGTAAACTCTTCAAAATTATTTGCATAGAAAAGTGCAGCATTTAACCATATTCTCCGTCTTGTAATAATAGGTTCGGATGGTAAAGATATACCCGGTATTTCTTTTTTGTATTTATTTATTCTCGATGGTGCTTTTAGGAAAGCTTTTTTCTTGAAATAAAGGAAATAAGTTACATGTGTATTTAAATTTTAAATGGGTGCTTAATATATTACCATTGTTAATCAATTTATTAATGTCGAGATACAATTCTCGAATTTCCTCTAGAACTTTATAAACTGCGTGCGCCATACATGTAATATGAATTAATTTCGGGAAAAATATGCTTAATGGTTTTGCTGCTTTGATTATATATGGTATGTACCAGCATCACTAATAAAAAGTAATACTTTTTGTTCAATATCAGGAAATGTTTTTAACAAGGAATTAATAAACTGACAAATTGTTTCATAATTGGTAGATTCTAGTTCAGTAAATGCAACTAAATATGATTTACTAGGCTTCTCATAGAATTTACCAATTAATACATTTGCTATAGCCAAATCTAAACGATAATAGTATATTTTGTTATATGAGAAATTAAAATATGATTTATACAAACCTCTTGGATCGGTTGTCATCAACAATTATGTAAACGTAACCATTTCCTATATCACTAATTATTTAGTCCATGACGCTATTATAAATATTTGGTGTGTAATTTTTTCTTAAAGTGTTTTCGTCCGGAATTTATTTGTCAACAAGTTTTTCCAAAAATGATTTTTACACATGATTGCCCAGCTTATGCAAAGGAATGTTTGTAGCAACAAATGCATTACATAAATCTTCAAAAAATAAATTTTTACTATCCGAACTTTGAGAAGTAATCAAAAGCTGTATTTTTCTTTATTCCTTTGTAATGCATTTATGTGTTGAACTAAAAAAGACATTCGTTTATTTTTGAAATAATATGTAGTAAAAACATAAAATACAAAACTTTCTTGTTTTGGAATGTTGATCTGATAGATTTTTTTTTTCAGTAGACACATATTTGTTACACACGAGACAATATATGACCCATCCATCTGATGAAAATACTTCTTTATTTTCATTGTAAGGAGCAATCCAATTCGAAATTTTACTTTTTTAAAGTTGATATTATTTTAGACGTTACGTCGAATACGTTCACTGTGCGGTCAAACTGATCAAAGAAATTGGTACGAAGGTACCAACAGGTAAAGGAACACGAATCACTGTACTATTACGTCGATTTTAATTACCACCATATATATATATATATATAGATATAGACGCTTATCGCTCGCTAGGCTCTCCAAGCTTCCAGAAAATTCCAGACGAACGATAAACGTCTATGATTTAAAAACGTGGGAAAATTGCGAAAAATTGCAAAAATGTCGAAAATTGAAAAAAATTACATTATAAAATTGAATAGGCAGAATATTTTTAGTATTTATATCGGCTATATATTTAATCAGATTTGATTTATCATTATCGCAAAAAAAGTTGCAAATCTTATTTTTTTAATAAGATAACTCAGGTTAAACCTTTTAATCGAATAGGTTTAGTTGCCTGGCTCTACTAACACCTTTCAGGGGAGTCATTTCACATTTTTTTCAAAACATTTACTGAAAATTAAAATCAACTTAAAATCCGCTCTTGTAGCGAAATCAATAATTTTCACACTTGACTCTAATTTTCAACAATCGTGTATTCAAAAGTATAACAGAATTCAAAAATGTACTTCAAATCAATTTCATTAGGTATTACTGATTTATTTGAACGAAATTGACATACACAATAATCGCGTGCTTAATAAGTTTATTATCAGAACAAACGATATAATAGTATGTATAGTATAATAAACACAATAAGTTAAAATCATATAGGTATTTTGAATTATCATAATTTAATTACGAGTAAACGTGTGCCCTGATATTTAAGCGGTAAACAATAGTTTTTATAAAATGCATAAATATAGGAGCATATAATAAATCGCATTGCATTAATGCAAATCGTTTACGCTTAAATTTATCGAAATTATCTTTGTTCGGCAGTCGGTACTATAATACCAATACTATATCATTTATAAATGTATAACAGTGTTTATGTCTTCGGATGTATTGTTAAAATTATAAATGATATCAAAGCATTTATGGTAAAATTACAAAATGCGCGGTTTAGAATATAAATTTTATAAAATTTACTGCAAACAAACATTTTAGGAGTGCTAAACAAATTTACGGGGTGCATTCGCATACCCTTACACCCCGAAAACGACGCCACTGCAACTTCTCACGCACAAAACAGCGATACACCCACGGTGTGGAATATGTGGGCATATATATCCTCGGAGATTCGATACAAACTCGCTCAGCTAATAACAATAAGCGGTTCTCGTATATAAATACAAAAATTTCGGAAATTCGATTTGTCGTTTTTTTTGTTTTTACAAACATAAACGTTTAAACTTTAGATTTTAACGAAAACTACGTAAACCACCGAAATCGCATTATTTTTATGGTTTATGCGAATTTTTTGATTTTTATGTGTACAGTATATCAGATATCAGTTAATTTTTTTATTATCTTTTACTTTCGAAATGTAACGGAGCTAAGGTAAGGGTGGTAATTTTTCACCGTGTATTTTCTCCGCTGATATCGTCGTTGCTGCCCTTTAAGTATTAAATATTTTATAGTGAAATGCTGTTGTGTTACGCTCGGTATTCAAACCGTGGGTTCGGATTTCGACGGTGGCGGCGCAGTAGACGTAACTCGTATTTTCTAACCATTATTACATGTTATTATCGTTTATCAATACGTTTGATCGAAATTACGAACGCAACAAAGTTTCTTATCATTGTCGTCATCGGCAGAAACGCGCACTGCCTATATAGTAATAATGTGTGTTATTATACCGTACGAAAAACACGAACGTAATCGTAACTGGAAATTATACTTTACTAACTGTTCGAATCTTAATCCTAAATTATTATAATAGTCGTATGGTGTGACTGCCGTACGGAACTATGCGTAAAATATTGTACTGCCGACATTAAATAAGAACGGAGATTTTTTTTTTTATATATATATATATATAATTGTATATTTTTTTTCCTACAAAAAATATCCACACTCGTTATACAATTAAGGGACCGGGATTTCGCGAGAAATTGCGTGTTTTTACCGATATGTAAAAATAGTGTGAAAACGGCACAAGTTCACTTTTCGACATTGTCGGGCAGAAGAAAAAAACCGTACAGAATTACCTATATTATGCATTAGATGTTTTTTTTGCTCAAAATTCGGTTGAATTATTTTTATCGGTATCTAGACGGACTCGCATTATTTTTGCGCCGAACCGTGTAGAATTTATTGCTTTATTCGAAACTTGTCGTCCAGTAACTTGCAAACGTACATTTGTTTTGTTGTCAAGATAACCAAAGATCGGAATATAAAAATAAAAGCCAAGTAAGGTGTAAAATTTCGATAAATGTTTCATATAAAATATCATTACGCAGAAATTTGGCGTCTTTTAAACTATGAAATGAAAAAATCTAATCAGCTTTACTAACAGGGTTTCCTGCGGGGAATAAACGTATCATGGTAAAACTAATAGATTCTTGGCCACACTTACAATCTAAAATTAACTTTTCTCCCTTAATGTAAAGAAATGAAATTCGATTTCCTTCTTTAAAACTCGTACTCCTTTACATTTTACACACTCTATATTACTTAACACAATTCCCATGAATATAGTCCAATCTGTTTGTGTTTTAGGTTTTTAATTTATACAATTTATCATTTACAACCGTATTGGCTTTACTTGCTGTGAAAATCTTGGGATTCATTAACTGAAATACTGACGATTTTAAAAATATTTAGGCTTTAAACATACTTTGCGTATCCCTTGTTCGTTCAATTCTGGAACACGCATCACTTATCCGGGATCCTCATCAATAGTCTAACCACAGAACGACTTGACTGTATTACATTTTTACGTATTTTCGAATATCTTAGAGGTATTAAATTAAATTTAAAAACCTTATTTGACAGACGACGCGTGTATAATGCATCTTTTGTATTTGAACTACTTTATGGATGCAACGATTTCCCTGATATTTTATCACTATTTCTCGTTGCTGTTCCGTCTTTTGACTCAAGAAAGTGCTTAAAAATTGAATGCGATTCCCATACAAGTGATTTTGGCTACGCATCCCCCTCCTAGATCGTATTTTTCATGTTATAATTAATAATATGCTTAATGCTGATATATTTCATAACTCTCTATCGTGTTTCGTTAATTATGCATTTAATTAATTTCATTAAACATTTTCTCTTTTTATAACAATATCTGTACTGCATAATTATTAACATTTTATTTCTGAACTCTGTGTCCTTGCGGTAGTCAAATAAATAAATAATGCTCGTCACCATCCGGATGGACGGGAGTGTTGTAATAATAATTTCTCGGGCGAAAAAAAAAATTAGAATTAGAATATTTTCCCGTCAAGTTGTATTTTTGTTCCTGTCCGAAATCACGATTGTCATAATTATAAGCCAAGTCGAAACAATGGAAAATCACGGACATGCAATGCAGTTTTATCTCGGTTGCAAGAATACAGATTATTATTATACTCATAATTATTGCATTATTTCGTCACCGAAAAACGATTTTACCGAGATTAAATTGGCGCTACACGTAATTTGCTGTATGTGACTTACAAACGCACAGCATGACAAATGTACGCTCAGTTGAAAACGTTTTGTGATTTTCTTTTTTATAGTAGGCTGACCTAACTCAAAGGTAAGAAGACTATATGCAATAGTGGCGATCAAATGATTATCTGTTTAATATTGATTCACGACTTACATTTTTACACGATGATAACCTTTCATTTAGTAATTAATTACACTTTGTGTACTTAAAGTGTTAACTTCAAGTTAATTTTGTGTATTTTAAATTAAAATTATGGTCGAAGGTAAACAAAAACGTGAAATTTAATTTTTAACTTTGCGAAGTTTAAACAATGAGTTACATTTAACTCAACCGAATTTTCTTTGTATTGACTTAACTTGATTAGTTAAAAGAAAAAATTGTCAGTTCATCCGACCTTGGTAAAAATACTATTGATAGCCTATCCATTATATCATTAATATCCATAGGGATATCTCGTCTGATAATTAAAATACCGAAAAAACCTAATTACAAACCCAGATAAATGTTATTCCCTTTAAAACACCGGGCTTATAATATACCCGTAAAGTGTTTATGAGCGCTTATTCATTTTCTCGTGATGTGGTCGATAAAACCTATACTCTTATCTCTAACTAGTACTTTATGGAATCGATTTCTCGACATGTCAGTCTATTGTCTTTCGATCATAGTACATCGATTATACTATGGTACATTGCCGTGAAATGTATATTTTATACTAAATTTTCTTTTTTTTTTTTACAGTCACAATATATTTCTCGTAGTCTTATTTTTTGTGATCAATCAAAAACTATAAAATAATAATGAATAAAATATAATTGAATATTATTTTTCGTGATTCCACGAGAAACAGAGAGTATAATATAATATACGGTCTTATCCAGACGGTGTTTATTCGAAATTATTCTTAATAAAACAACTATAGTGAGCACTGCTCACGGCCGAAAATCGGTTACGCCCGCGGCAAACTTGCGTTTGTAAATCGGAGGCGACAATATTATTAAAAGCAGTCCTCTAAGTAATTGTCAGACGGCCGGTAAATTCGGATAACGTTTCTATCCACGGCGAGAATTCTATTATAATATTATGCGAACCTTGGCGAAAAGTTCATCGCGAATAATTATTCCAACGTTGGCGGATTTGCAATAATAATCGTTATCGTATTAATAATAATTAATCTCTTGATAAATTACTTAACGGATACATATATAATTCGGTCTCGCGTCGTTCGTCGATTTAGTACATATTGTATTAGCGTGCTATTTGCGAAATAGATCAAATATTAAAAAATAATAATAATAATAATCAATAATAAACTCGTCTCGCAGTAGAGTGCAACGTTCGTGCATTTTACAAAAAACAAAAAAAAAATAAAATTGAAAATATGGCAGAATTCCGACGACGAAGGTCGATAGTAATAAATCGAGTGCGAACCACAGCGAAACGTAAACGAGATATTAACGAGTAGTGTTTTTCGAGAAAAATAATAAATTGATCGCTCTGTATTATTTTGTAATAAGACTCCGTTTTGCCGATCAGAAACGGTAGAAACGATATAATTATAATAAGTGCGATTCGCCCAAATGGAAACACGAACGGATTTGTATGATTGAAATGGGTTTTTTTTTTTCAAGAATATCGGGAAGTTCCTAAATACGTGTGCATTTCGAGCTTATTTTCAACATTTTAACTACTGCTCGCGCAATATAACTAAAGTTTTCTTCAAATAGAAACGTCCGTTTCCGACATCAGATTATTCGAACAGCCTATGATTTCAAACTAATTCGACTAGTGCAATATTTGTTCTTTAACAAAAATCACTTTAAATCTAATTTTATATAAAAGAAATTATTCAAATATTTCATAAGAATTTAAAACGCACGACATTTTAGACGCAGTGATTCGCTTCCGGTTTTACGAGAGAAAAATGGTCAATAGAGATAATCACAAAATTGTACGTGCATATAACGAGCAGTATTTTAGCGTTTTAAATTTGTTGAAAAATCGAGGAAAAAATTATACATTTTTATGAACTAGAAATGACAATTTTTGAAATAGAATAAAAATTGTATTAGTCAGTGTTGCTTGGGAAACTTCGCCGAATAGATTCGGATGTATTTTACCGTGTTATTAGTGTAAAAACTACGTTTTTTATGAAGGTTTATTAGCTATAATATTACTATCCAGAATTCAACCATTATAAACAGTTGTTGAAACTCACTGATTTTCAGTCTTATAATTTGAAAATATGTTATTATTTTTGGTATAATTGTGAGTCACCGTGGCAATGAGGGTGGATGAGAGGAGGGGAAATCGCTTAATGTAATTCTTCATATCGTCAAATGAACTTAAGTATGTAAAATTGTTTTAGGTAACCGCGGTTCGAAGGATTGATTGAAGGCGAACGGTTTGAGAATAATGTTATATGGGGTCACGTTAGCGGTCGTTATATTTGTTACCGGCAAAACGCTGTGTGCGCTAAAATTTTTAACATAATATCTATAATTATAAATTGTCAGGCAACAATGGTTATCCGTGATGTTTAGGGGCGCGAAAACTCGCGTAACAGAATTGATTTTATTGATTTCGAGTTCTGAAAGGATATTATTTTATTAAATCCGTTTTAAAAATGGTCAAAAAAGCAGCGGAATTTCATTGGTGGGGAGGAGGGGTGGGCATCGTTGCTCGTAACAGCTATTGTAGTATAATCGCTTAACCGATATTATTGTTGTTGTTCGCATATAGTAATTTCGTCCGCAACAATCGGCGAAACGGGTTCGTTTGTCATTTCGCGTGTGCCGAGGAATGTCAAAACTCATAACAGCGTAGTGTTTTTTATTATTATTATTTGTTGTTTTTTTTTTTTTTTCAAATAATAAACTATCGTTATTTCATGCGCTGTAAAAGGACAAGTCGAGTTGATTTCAAAAGGGAAAAAAATTCCACAAATAATAAAAACGAAAACCAGATTCTTATAATTTCAATTTATATACCGTGACCATAATAATAATATTATAGTCTATTATTATTTGAGTTATGCGTTATGATGAGCAAATTCGCTCTGGGCAAACGTTTCAAACGTTCGTTAACAGAGAAATGAAGTGATGTGTTCGTTATATTTTCCGAGACCCGTCCGTCTCCCCGTGATATACATGTAGGGGAAGGGTTCGCATGCCTTATCTGTATTGTTTTCTTTTTATTCTTCCGCCGGTGTTAGAAGTGGACGATCTATTGAACCATAACACGTCGTATATATATATTTTTTTTTAATTTGGTAAACTTTTTTTTTTTTGTGAAAATTTGTACTAGAATAATTGCATTGCGGTTTTTTTCGAGCTCTAAAAACATAACTCAAAAGTAAGGACAAAATTTAATTAAATGTCTGTTGCTATAGATTATTACGTATCAAATTACACGTAATTTGTGTAGCGAACGGTGATCGCACCAGAATCATTATCAATTTCGACTGGTTATTTGAAACTATAATATCGGTTATGTTATAGAATAATGAAACAGTATTTATTAGAAATTTGAATATGAAATATTTTTATTACCGGGGGATCAATAAATAACAGTTATTAAAATTGAATTTTAATATTTGTTTTCGTTATTCATAAACTTTTATCTCTATTTTATTGATTGGAGCGAAATGACATACCAGGGAGGGGGCCCTTATGCCATGAACGGGAAACAAGTGCAGCCCCGCCTATTCCGGTGCCGCTGTCATTGTAAATGTTAGTAAATTTTGCGGATGTCGATAGACGACGTATACGCTCTGTTCGCAATCCGATTTCAGTCAAAACCAAGGTCAAAATCAGTATTACTCGGGGTTTTTTCGGAGGAATAATGCGCATTTAATGTTACAATAATTATTAATTATCAAATGATTAGTTAATTTATAGTTTTTTTTTTTATTATAATTATTATTATTATTATTAATTTATAGAGTGGTAGAGTGATCACGTCCGCTGCCGAATTCCAACTATACAAACGATACAATGTAGCGTTCGAAACGTCTGCCGCTCGCGAATTTGCTCTATACACTCGTTATGTGCATCGGTATACGCTGTTTTCTAAACAATTAAAACCAAGCGTACATTCATTTTTTTGTCCCCACGTTAATTTATTTATAACGCGATAAATTAAATCGTGCCGTAACGAATAAATGTAAAATTAACGATTACAGGAGAAAAAAAAGTATACATATTATACATAAAGATAACTACTACTGCGAGACTGCGTGTCTGAAGGGGATTTTCGCAAATAATATTCATTCGAGTAATCAGTGTGCAAATGAATATCATTTGTCATTGTGTGCGCATCATCATCATGTTAAGTAAGCACTTAAGTGTACAACGGACGGCGAGGTGGATAATTTATGTACATTTTTATCGTCTCACATCGCAAAAAAATAAAATAAACCGAGAAAACGAGTCGTGTATATTTATAAATTTTGTTTTCTCGTTTAAAAATATTGAGTTTAAATATAGCTGACTGACTGACTGCGGATGTTTTCCGGAAGCTGCGTATCCAGCGGAAATTATTATGTTGTTGCAATGTACGATTGGAAAAATACGTCGGTCAATATACCTTCGGTAAAAGTATTTCATACACGTATCTTGAGTACATTTGTATCTTGTATTGTCATACAGTTATGAAAAGTATCGAATATCTTGTGTCGTGCGACACTGAAAATCAATGTATCCAGTACCCCGATTCTCACTTTTAAGTATCTTGTTCACCCGGGGTTTTTTAATACAATGTTGGACGGACGAACGAGAACGAGTCGGTTCCCAATTACCGAATTGATTCTCGAATGGTCTAGAATCTACAGGTAACATACGAAGTGATTTTGATGAGCAGTCGTTTTTATAACAAGACGAAATTACAAACCTACAATAATAAATGTTCTTCCCATTTTACGCGTACTTCGGACTGTCTAGAAATCCGTCCAAAAGGCGGTTGATGTCGTTGAAAAAAAGTTTGAATTTAAATCGAAAAGTTATACAAAATTGTAGGGTTTGGGTTTGACGGATTTTAATTTTAAAAACCGATTTGGATCAGTTAACAAATTTACTATTACGAGAACAGTCGAAATATCCCCGGGATACGTAAAACGCGATTAAACTTACTGTTTAAGCCTATTTTTACCTACAGGAAGTTTTATGGAGGTGCGTGTAATTTTTATCGGGAACGAACTTGTACCTTTTATTTTTTTTTTGTCGAGCCGGGCTCTGATTTCATAATTTATATGGTTAGAATACGACGACATAAGAATGAACATTGTTCTTTGTACATATGGTATCTACGCGATATTCGAAATGAAAGTTCCATTCCAGTCTAAAATTAGTGATTCCTCGCGGGACACGTTATATAGTAGGTACGCGCCTAAAACTATTTAAATTATACCTACGCTTTTATTTCTGAACCACGTTTCCCGTCGAAAACGGGAGGATAATACGATACCAGCTATTTGTATAACATAAATGCATCATTTTCCTCAGCGGTTCGATTTACTTCAAAAGACCTCGTGATGGGTTTTCGCTATACGGTAATACAGCTACTCGTTTATATAGTGTATAAGTATGAGAATATGTGAAATGTCTAGCGAAAATAATTATTTTTATAACGAACACGTCACGTTTAGGTATCTATATCCGTGAAATAACGCAGGATCGCGTGGTTCCGTGACAGCTCAATATATATTCGTTTACATATCATTATTATCATTATTATTATTGTTATGTACCTATAATATTGTATTACAGACGATGGGTTTCAAACTTTTTTCCGTTTTTAGTAAAATGGAAATAAAAAAAAATAGTTTCGACAACCGTCGAGAAAAACAAAAGAATAATACAATCCAAAGGTCGTCGTAACTATAATATACTGAGTAGACAAACAAAAAAAAAAAAATAAAAAAATACGCGATAACAAAACTACAGTATATATAAACTCGTCTATTTATTTATTTTCTTTTATCAATGCTGGTCGCCGGCACGTGAAATAACTTTTTTTTTGAGATTTACACAGGCAATACAAGCGACGAGACTGGATAGATAAGAAGGATACCGCACGATCGTTTTGGCATTGTAAATCGTTCGACAAATTCGTGACATGATTTTTCAATGAGTCTCTCTCGGTAGTCTTACACGTGCGTAGATACATTTATACACCTACGTATGTCGGAGAAACGTTTGGTTTTCTTCTCCTCCTCCTCCTCATCTCTTTTTAATAAAGTGCTAAATTGCGAAATTGCACACGCTGTAATCTTTTGACAATCGCGTTCAATCTTTCGCGTTTTCCTTATTTTTGGTATTTATTTCTCTATCAAATTGAATTAACAAACATCTCCATTTATTTCTAATGCCGTGATTCTTTCTGAGAGTTTTTTGCTTTCGTAATTAAACTTCGACGTCCCGAACTGCTTCTCTCCACTTTTTAACTTTCGAGCTTTCCAAATATCATTTATTAAAACGTCAATTAGTCTTTTCCTGGGCATTCTTACATAAAGTTTTGAAATCTCCCATATTTTCCTCTTCTCATCACGTGGCTCAATTAAATTATACGGATTCACGTACTGTGGATATCCACAATTTGTGAATTTCATCGTACACCAATATCAGGTACGTATAGAGGGGGAAGTTATTGGGGTTAAACCCTTCCCCCTCGAAAATTAATAGTTGTGTAATTTATTTATAAAAATTTAATATTTTTAGATTCTGAGTAAAGCGAAGAAGCTTATGTTAGTTTTTTTTTTTATCTGTTAACAACTTTTCTACCAGAAGACTTGATCGTATTTTTAATGTAGTCCTTGTTCTGAAATGAAATTGATATAGGTAGGTACTTCAAAGAGGAAAATGTTTGATTTTCTCAAGAGTTTTCTCATCAAATTTGAAAAACCAAAAAAACGGGAAAATATAAGAAATGTAAGTATTGGTTAAAATATATAACGGCCTTCTTTTTTTCTGTGTATAACTTTTCTACCAGCAATTTCGCTCCAGCTTATAATGATAGCAATGTTTCTAAAAAGAAATCTGACTGGAAAGGTACTTTAGGAAGTCATTTTTCGATTTTCTCAGGTCTTTCCAGCAAATGTGAAAAACCGGGAAAAATATGGAAAAACCAGGGAAAACGTAAGAAAAACAGTAAAATCGAAAAAAATATTTAAGAAAATATATAAAGCCTTTAAAATTATTTTACTATAATATGGCATAAATATTTATTGTTGACAAATCATCACTATCAACTGAACTCTACTCAGAATCGTATTTTTATAAACAATGATTTATCGTAGCTTACAAATATAAATTCGAATACCTATAACAATGGTCACTAATCCCCATAATCCTAGGACGTCTTATGAACCTCCCACCCCCCTGAATTTTTTGTTTGTGTACGTGTCTGACCAAAATCATTTGCTAACATTAACATATCGATTAAACTTGTACTTACTATTAGTAAACATTCAGCAAGTCGTGTTCTGCTGACTTTGATCAGCTAACTTTAAGAACATAATATTATAAATTTATATTATCTCGAAGCTGTCTATTGTATCTCTATCGCCATTTTACCGTTCCATCGATGTCGGTTCCGAATATTATTTCCTCTAAGTTTCGTTTTTGAATGTTCTCCTGCGAGTTACTTTCGAATATTAACCGTCTAATTTGATTTATTAACGAAATATTAAAATTTTGAACTGTTAATCGCACTAACATTAACATTGTATTGTAATTTATAACTAAGAAAAGTTTTAAAACTAACGAATGATATTTATCATGTTAATATCGGTATACCGATACGAGAAAAATAACGAAACACGCGTAAAAACACGACATATTATTTATGACGACGCTATATTAGGTATGTAAAAATATGTAAAACAAAAATATAGTTTTTTTTTTTTTTTTACGGATCTTTTGAAACACATTCAACACAGTTGGAACCAAATGTAAGTATTGCAAGCATAAATATGTGCGTTTATTGTTTACGTAAAATAAATTTAAACCCTTTTACACATAATAATATGTGTGCACTATACTACACATAGGCACGAGTAGGCGAAATAATATTTTTCGTAAAGGGGAGAAAAGGAGTGTATTATAACCCTGGAAGTTATTTGAAATAACAACGTTTTCAGATGAGTGACCGTAACGAAATAGGGATTTTAATCTATGATAAATCGCATGGTTCATTTATTTTTGCCTTATTAAATTTAATATTAAATAAGATAGCTGCCTAGAATACCCTTTTTAAAAGTCCCGCGTTCGCAAACCGTAGCTGGTTTTTGATTCCACTCTTTATAAGTTTGTACGGATAAACTAGAAAAACACACTGTATTATATCATCATATGCGGCTTAATACATCTAGCTAGTTTACTGGCATTGCTAAATTTCGGCAATATTTATGATAAACAAATGATAAGGTGTACAGAAAAATCCTGTTTATATCTGTAATGCGAAACAGTAAATCATAGCTATCGAAAAACGATTCTGAACGGAATTCGGTTAAAAACAAATGCCGCGACGTTTTACGGTTTTAACCGCTAGAGATTTTTGATATTTCCATATAGTGTCATAAGAAAAACATACCTACACTATGTTGTATGAACTATGCACCGAATTCCCAAACGTTTTCGAAATGTCAAAAAGTATTTCCTACCCAAATAAAATAATAAAAACTCGAAAAATTATTCAAACAGCTATATAAATAACTCGAAAAACGTCGGGACGTTTTAACCAATTGCACAACGTTTAGAAAGAATATCCATTCGTTAATTTTCTGTGATACCGAAAACGATACCAAGCGCGTCTCGCGACAATGAGAAATCACCACGCGGCCGTAAAAACTTTGTGTTTTTACTTTTCTAGATTATTGTTATTGTTGTTGTGGTGTCGGGACCGCGGAAAGAACACGACAAACGTTGATAAGTAAAACCGAGCACGTTTCCTCGGTATAATGGATTCAGCGTGTGGCATTCTCCGCAGCGCTAAAAAAAAAATATATATGTATATATATCAAAATATTACAAACACGACGTACAATAATTTATCGAGGGATCCATTTAAGTGGCTACACTCATTATTTCCAAAAGTATTAACTTTTTCCATTTTGAAAATTTAGAAAACAAGCAACTGTACGATAATTTAGCATTTTCATTATTTATGACAATTTTTTTTTTCTCGGATGTAAAACGACTACTTACTTTTGATTTTCAAACGGCAACATAATGTATTAAAAATGTGTGATTTCCGTCAACCCATTGACGTTCAAGTTATAATATAACTTTATGTGTCACTTCCAGTGCCAACGTGCGTATCTCAGTGGTGTTTTTAGAGTTTCAGCATGATTACATATTTTAAGAAAACTTTATGTCAATACATGGTTTTGATATGAGCGGTGTTATCGTTCTCGAGAATGTTACAGTGTAATTAACACTCGCGAGTCTAACTTGAAAAATTACAGCCCAAAATATATTCGAACACATTTGTCTTGTATCAATATCGATAGTAATCTCATTTTGTCAAATTCTGAGATAATAAGTGCGGTAGCAATGTAATATGCATGTATTATGTTGTCGAGATAGTTAAGTGTAGATAACTGGCGTGTCGGAGTCACAGTAAAGTTTAAACAGGCTTTTATGTTTTCGCCTGCGACATATCTACCCGTGCCGCATTACAAGTGTGTTTCATAATATTGTAATGTCTATAGTATACGTTACGGCTAGACAACGGTACGGTTACCAGCGGGTCTTGAAACGAAAAAAAAAACGCATTTGCCTATTCGTCATTCCATACTCGTATAACGAAAGGAATTCCGCATATACATGCGTCGAAATTCGAAATGCGTTTCAAGCGCATTCCAATAATATTTATAGGTATTTCGTATAATGCTCTCGTTTCCGCATTATTATAACAACATAACGAGCCAAACGTTTTCCCCGGGAAACTTTACATTCAGCCGTGCTAAGCTTCGCGTAGTTACCTCTAGTTTTTGTATAGCCGTGCACGTTATTACGGCCGGTCTCGGGCACAAACTCGTGTATAAATACGCCGTCGTCGTATCATATCGATTTACGCGATTTTACTAGTGAACCGTAATGGAACACCTAGCGGTTCGCGCTCGCTGTCCGTTCCTTTGTATTCCCACGTGCGCGTTCATGCAGTTCGTCCCTAATCATTTAAACGACCGCGACTACTACTTCGAATGGTTACACTCCGATTTACGCGGCACAATAATTGTCATCGTTCGGTCGACGTGTGACGTTATAATAACTCGTGTTACATGCGGCGGCGACGTGCCCATGGACAGCGCCAAGACCGAACGACGTAAACTATACAAAATTTACGAATGATTATCAATGGAATAATAATAATAACCATTTCGCGTTCGCACTACTCATTCAACCAAGTACAAATAAAATCGAACTGCACAATCGTGTATTTCGTAAGATATTTTCGTCGCATTTTCTGTCGGCAAATACTGAAATAACTGAAATCAGTTTAGCTCCCCTCCCCCCCCCTCCCGCCCATTGAAAAATCCTGGATACACCACTGGCGCACGGTTATTATCAAACCGATTTTCACGTACGTTTCCGGTGGACGGTGTCGACGGGGTGCTCCCCGACGGTAGTCTGCAGGTATCGCGGTGTTCGAACACGTTTCCTCTAATGTCGCAGACCCCGTAGACAGAATATTACGTCGAGACGGAAGCGAGCGATTTCATACTGTATGATTGTTAAAATAACGGTACGGGTGGTAAAACCACTGTTCTCGTAAAAACGTACGTTTTTTTAATAATTTTACCATAATATATATCATGTTATATATTGTTGACGAAGCCACACTATCGACTGAACTCCGTTCAGAATCGTTTTATCGTTAGAAATGGTTTATCGTTGCTTACATGTATATTTTAATGAATTTCCGTTTGTATCCTACCTTACCGATTTCCCACCTATAATAGTGGCTGCACCCACGTGCGAAGTATGTCCGTCCTTTTTTTTTTTTTTATTGAATTTGCATTTTACATTTTACGGAATACGTATATTCCTATGCATTTCGTATAATACACGCCAAAATTAATAAAACTGTCCGAAAACACGACGCAATATACGTGCAAGTAAATGGACGCGTGTACAATTTCATTTTTCCATTTTGACTCATTTCATACTTACCTATACACAGTGATAATATTATCATCGTCTCCAATATGGGATGTTTACGATAGTATTTAGCTACAGGGTCAGGCGAGATACTAAAAAATACAAAAGGGATACAACACGAAACGAGACATATCTTTTGTATGTATATTTTTATACAAGGTGCATTATGGTTGTACCAAGTTGATACAATGTAAAAGTGTAACGGTGTAGACGATAATTTAAATATTTCAAATTTTCGTAATTCGACATTGATTCGGTGGATATTTTGTTATAATAAGAGTACCCGCTTAAAACTTACAAGACTTATTTTAGTTTGCTAACAATAAATTACACAATTATAATTACAGAAACTTTCGGTATTTAAGATTAAGCAAAATAAAATACAATAATTAGATGATGCGCAGTAAATAAAAGTAAACGTCAATTAATTAATCATTAAAAGAACTTGATAATTGATACCTAATTAAAATGTATCTCGATACAACATACGTTTGCATAAAATAAAAAAAGGTATAAAATAATGCAATATTTGTATTTTCGATCAATTAGCTGATACGCTTAGGTATCTGCAGTAATACTGGCCGACCCTGAGCTGTCCAACGGGCCCGTCGAAAAACTAAGATTTATTATCATTTTTTTCTTTTTTTAATATTTTCGAATTTTTTATTTATATATATATATATATTATATATTAAATATATATATTTATTTATATCTGTTTGCGAAACTCGGCGTTAATTTCAGGGTAATAATATTATTATCTCGGCTACAAAACTGCGGGGAAAAGTTTTTTTTCGCTTAAGTAAAAAAGACAAACTTTCGTGAGGTTTTTTTTTTGTTTGACCGCGGTACACACACTGTAGGGTAACCATACGTCCCGTATTTCAGCTTTTTGTCCAGGTTTCATGACGAAAGTTATACGTATTTCGATCCCGTGTTTTCAAGTTTATTCCTTATTAATCCCGCTTTTCCTTTCACTGTCAATATATAACTTTTAAAATCTATTTGGATGGCTTTATCATGATTTCCAATAAAATCTACTTTATAATGGTATGTTCGGGTTATTTTTTTGACCGTTTTAGCGGATATACTGTATCATATATAACAAACAATGAATACAATTTAAAAACGATTCTTGTAATGAGTATTGGCAGTATTTTATTAAGTGGTAATAAATTATACTCGACGCAATATTAGTTCAGCACAAAAGTACACGAAACAGCTGAAGATGAAACTGACCAACTACCATCATAATCAAAATAAAATTAATTTTTACATAAAAATAAGTTATTAAATGCAAGAAGAACCTATATCCTCATTTTACAATTTTTCAGGGAACAAAACCTTAATATCTCTGGAAAAATTGAAGAAAATATTTGAAATAATTCACATCATAAATAAATCATAATGATTTGTAAGATTTTGAAAAGGATTTATGAAATTTTTATAAAATTACAATGTTTTTAAGTCCTTGGACTTATTGTGTCCTTTTTACAAAAATTTCAATTCCCAAATATCCAATGTACAAAAATTATATTATGATACACAAAATAAATTTAATGAAAATTATTTTATTGATTTTCAATATAATAATTACTTTTTTAATATTTAAACTCTTTATTTAACATTATAAAAAATGTATTATTAGATTTCCTGTAGTAAAAAGATTGTATTCCAAATCGATATTAAAGCTTGTTGTAGAATATATTTTGCCAACTGTTTTAAGTCTTTCATTTTGCTGTGTATTATAGCTTAGTCCTGTATACTAATGATTGTAGTCATTGATATTATGTTGAATTTTCTTAACTTGAAATGGTTCGAAATTATTCATTCAATATATTCACTTGCTTCAATTATTCCATACCGAATGGATTAATGGATTCACATTAAAAATAATGGTACTTGGAAATTGAAAATTTCTCAATTTATTGACTTTTTCCTGGTTAAACATTCCACTGTATTTGTAGTTTTAATGTAAAATTAATTTTGGTAATAAAATATAATGCATTATCAACTAAGAATACTGTCTGGGTTGTTTGATGATCACAAAATTAGTTTTCTAATGTATAGAGTGCATCAGCTCTGTTTAGTTTTTTATACTTAAGATTAAATCACAATCGCATGGTAAAAATGAATGTCCTCTTTGTGGAAAAAATATTTTGATAATAACTATTCAGGGCAAAAAGGTCACTTGTCTAGGACATGTGGTTTTATATGTGATTTTATAAAAAAATTATGGGCATCTACTCTTCTTGAATTTAGTGATTCAAATATTCTATTTGTATTTTAAAATATGTATACAGTGCATATTTATTTTATTATTTAAATTATATTTATAGCTTATATTTTCTTTACTATGCATTGTGTTTAATTTTTTTTTTAAGCGTCACGTATTTTTATGATCACCCCAAGTCATACTACGCCGACTTACCGATATTCCGATACAGGAATATTATTATGCTAAAATCGCTTAATATTTTTCGAATTTAACAATAATTCATTGTAAGTAAATAGGCACGCGTGTTCGGTAAAATACAATACAGAGCTGGATGTCCTGAAAGTCATATTGACCTGTTGAACGTGACGTTCGCCGTATAGTTCTGAACAATAAAATAATATCGGGGCAATATAATCATAAAACCGTTTTTATAGTTAATCTTTTTTTCTTATTTCTATAATAATGTCCATGTATAATGAAAACGTGAAATAAAAAATATGTTTATAAAAAAGAACCGTTGAAAAAAAATAATACATAAAATCCGTACGTAAATCATGTATTGTTTTTACGCGTGGTAAATCACTACTTATTCTTGGTGTTTTTATAAGGTAAGGTACATGGATTTATTTGATTTATGTCTGTCTATAAATATTCAACCCTTCGAAATATTATTATCCACAAGTGTATAAAATGCGTTCAAAACCGATTTCAAAGGCATTTCTGTTTGTTTGGCGAGTACACGTAATATATTTCGTTAGATGCACTGCGGCCACGACAAGTGCAACTCTGAAACTTTAGTGTCGGACACTCCCAGCAAATAATCGTTTGTATTTCGTTCTTCATATGTGTCGATAAAAACGATAACCTCACGACGGTATTGTGGTATTTGCATTTTTAAGGTGTCAACCGTAAACAATTTGAAACAAATTAAACGCTACGTATTATGTACAGATTAAAAATATCGACGTGACCTCTTTTTCGGTGGTTTTATACGAACATTTTCGATGAAATTATATTGATATTATAAATAAAACAATGACGGTGAGTTTAATATAATAACAAAAATTATAAATATATTTGACCATTTCCGGTCCTTCCGGTCCGTAACCCTTCCCCCTACATGGATGTAGATCTATAAATTAGTGAATATGTCTTATATTTTTCGTTAAATGTTAATGTTAATAACAATTTACAAATTTCAAAGTATTAGAGAAAATTTGGAAAACCGTCTCCGACAGTTTTAATGTAAACATTAAACGGCTTTAAATGACTTATTTGACGAATTACTTCAGTTATTTCAGGGGGAAACGAGAAATGTATTGGTTTTACTACATGATTTTTTTTATATGCAAACAACTTTTCTACTAGAAAATTTTACTTCAATTAAAATCTATTTATATGAACTTTCTTGTAACTTTTTGATCTAGTTGGTCTATTGAGGACGATTTATTTTGATTTTCTATACAGTTTTCTTAATAAATAGGAATAACTAGTGGTTTTTTAAATTACTTTTATTGATTTATAAGTTATCTTGACAGCAACGGAAAAAATATGACTAATAATCCTTTGCTCGGAATCGTTTTTCGTTAGCGATGGTTCAGATATAAAAACAATATTACTCTATACATCCTCCATTTCAAATTTACTTCTAAAATAGTGACACATCAATCAGTAATATCATTAATTTTTTTGTTCAGAAATTGCAAACTAACATCACTATATTATTGGTAATATTCACTTAGAAGGAGTTTATAAATAATCGCTTGTATTACTCATATAATACTATAAATATAAGATATATTTTTTTGAATTTTTACTCTAATATTGTCTCTGCAGTTTTCTATTTTTTTTTTGAATTTGTAAATACATCACGCACAATAAAAAAAAAACGATTCCGGGTGATAAAAAAAAAAATCCTCTACGAATTCTCGAATTATATATTTTCTGGGCGCTCCTATTCCCCTTTTCGTCCCTTTATATAACACCTTCACGACCCTACCTTGCGTCCGCATGAACCGAGTTTGGATTCCGCGGTGGATACGCTCAATAATAATAGTACGATTACAAACGTTCCGTGCAATCTTAACGGGCGTGGCTGGATAAGAGCCGAATCGAGTCGAATAGGTATTTCGTGTACAATAATAATAATATATTTCATATATGATTTATGATTATTACGCTACGTTAAGAAAAAAAAAAAATAAAAAATGTTCCATTAAAACTGGCGCGTACGATATAAATACCATTGAAATAAAAACACATATAATATACCAGCCCTGTACACCGGGTATTACCGCGGGCGTGTCTACTGGATTTGACAATTTTCCTTATTGCCGGCTACCTAACCAAACGTAGTAAGACAATTTAAAATAAAAATGTTTAAAACTGTCCCGAGATTAGATTACTGTTTACAGTGGTTAACTGTAATAAAAAAAAAAAAAATACAAAAAAAAATTACACCCTCGGACACGCCAGCTACGTCGAAAACGCTACAACGAAATTCCTGTAAAGTTTTCGATTTTGGTTATTTGGAAAAGTTATTTGCGGGCGTATACACACATACACAAACAAACGAATCTGGAGTTTGGTTTGGTGTCCGACGATAATATTATGCGATCACACGTAGGAAACATTGTAAAATCCTGCAGTTGCACCCTACAGTGTGCATTATAACGTGCCTATATCTACGAACGACACTCGCAGTTGATCCTGTACGCGAATTCTATTACCGCGAGACTAGCCGAAAAAAAACACGGATGGGGGCGGTAGGTCGGCTGGTACTGTTACGGAAAATGTGTGTTTTTCTTTTGATGATCGCGGTAGACGCGGCGGTGACGATATCCCGACGGCAAAATAAAATATTTGTGTGGCACTTCAAACGGAAATTCGAAACACACCGGCTGCTGCTGCAGCTGTACCGTTAATGGGTCGTGATGGACATTATGATATACGGCTGAACAATATTTCTCGTGATATAGCATAATATTAAATTTCGCCTCTTATCTCGGTATTATTTCTCACGTCTCCTCACTTCTTTATTTAGTTTTCCCTACGAGGATATCCGATGGGATCGATGAGGGTGTATAATATTTCCGTAGACCGAAAAGCCAATTAAAACCGACTGTTTCATGGATTTAAATTTTCACTCCGGAGCTTCTTACTAGTATTGGCAATGGAAATTTAATTATTTTACTGAAAATTGCAAACAAAACTTTTTAAAAATACACGACAATTCACTATTAAAGTATTTCGTCTTTTATTTATAATAAAGAGAAATAAAATAAAAAAAAAAATAAAGTACGGATCCTGGGGACGGCTTTGCCATTGTTGTAGATGAGAAGTTGTGAAGATGAGATACATAAAGTCTGTTTTGTAATTTGTAAAACCATAATCAATCTTTCGTTGTGTATTCCGATTGGCCGTTGTAATCTCGCCAAAATTCAGTGACCTGCGAGATCTATCACGGTATATTTTCAGAGTAGCATTGAACTCACTTTTGTTCTCGTTTGCAGAGTTACGACGGCCAGTCGGGTTATTTTTTTTTTTCGGTTGTTATATACATATGAAAAATATATATTAGGACGGTCCCTATCGTATAGACGGAGGGGCGTAGACGCGAATTTCCGATCTTATTTGTTTAGCACTTTAAAGAAAGCGAAAATATTTGTTGAATTTCGTAAACACCGGCCGATGATCCTGAGACGTGTATCGGAAAGGGGCTAAAGTTGCTGAAAATATCGTTTTTCGCAATTACGGCGAAAAACAAAAAAAAAAAAACAAAAACGTTTTTAATTTAATCGCCTAATAGTAATTGATTGTATCGAGTAGTGCATTGTTCGTCGTATCGCCCGTTCGCGGCGTGTTTGTACTCGCGTGGCGGCCCCGAAATAACGCCCCGGACGTTCCCCGGCGGGTACAATAACGACACGTAGAGGGGGTGGGGGGTGGGGGTGGGGCGACGGACGGCTAACAATAACGACGGGACCCAATATCGTATTCCGGCCGTTTCGAGCCGATAATCTGCATTGATACCGAAACAACGCTTCAGTTCAGTTCGCGTTGCTACTGTGCGACGCCATACGCGGTGCCTGTACAATGTTATAATTACTATTATCATTGCTGTCGGTATATCGGACGTGAAAATGTGTACGGTTATCCGTTTTGGCCGATAAGCCGGCGCGTCGCGTTTTAATTACCTGTCGGCGCCGGCGTCCGAACGAGACTCCGGTCCGCACTGACGGGGCACTCCCGGTACTCGCGACGCGTACCGATGTAAAACGAAACGTCCCCGGATGACCCGCGCGATTGAACACGCGGGTCATTGGAGTCCGTGTGCGCGTACACGTGAACAAGGTACACGGTAGTCTCTTTAACGTTTTATTTGGAGTTCTGTCCGAGTCCACGAGTGGACGCTTCAATACGCGCGTGTACACGTGTGTTGTAAAAACCGTGTCCGTGAATACGCGTTCGTTCGCGTTCCTAATTACACGTTAATTAGAGACCGGCCCCGGTGTAAACTGCCCCGACGGTACTTGACGCGTACACAATAATTATCGTGTTGTTTTTCGTATGGTATTTTTTTTTCCTTTTTTTTCTTTTTTTTTTTTCAGAATACTACTACTAACTTCGTGTTTACGATTTTACGGCGTTTCTCGAAATAATGGCATTAAATCGAAAGAACAACAACCCCCCCCCCCCCTCCGCCTCCCGATATTGTTATTATTCCGAGTTTATTTTTCGCTTTCTACAAAGAAAACACGCTATAATTTATTATAATAGTCAATATTGTCTTTCGGTATGTATTTTGAATTACAAACTCCAAACGGAACTGTAGATAATATAATATTATACAGTCGTACGGTGTTTTTCTTTATCGTGTAACGCTTTCTCGTCGCGACTGTCAAAAATGGTCGAATACCTAGTCGATAAATCTACAGGATGACAAATATTTGTACGAAAAACAATATAAAACTGCGCGCAAGTGTTCAGGTACACGAGTATGAGATGTTTAAAATTTAAGTCGGAACCGTCGAAATCGTCACTGTCGGAGGAGACTATATATTATTAATGTACACTGTTATATTGTAATTATAGTAATTACTTTTCGAGTTACGGCCAAAGGTTGAAATATATAGTTGTTCGTAATGCACACTTTATGCGAAACTATACCGTATTATAGCCCATAGGTATCTTCACTTTCCATCCCCGTCGATGGCGCCATTTCAGTTTTTGATGGAGGGGAAAGACTTTTTGATCAGCGCATCAAAGAAAAAAACCGAACCGCTCCGCTCGCAAACTAATTTCAATTTACATTTTTATCTATATATTATCTTTACATAAAGACATGGCCCGTTAAAGAACGAACAAAATAAATAAGTAAATAACTCTATTTCAAATCAATACAGTATACTCACCTTAAAGACGTAATTTTAGGTTTTCTCAGAGGAACCAAATTATTGTAATTGTTTTTTTTTTTTTTTTTTTTATGTGCATTAGCTTAAACATTATTTAAAAAAATACATTGCCGAAACAATGTACTCATCATGAGTCCTATTTTAAACAATACGTTTTCGTATAAAATGTTATAATTGTGCTGTCGTCGATGAAATGCAAAATGCAAAAGACAATCGATCCGTTGCCACCTTTACCGGAGTTCGGCCGTGACGTGAGTGTAAGACACGGTCAATATTGTAACCGTGGCTAAATATTCAAGCATATCGACAAGCTATGATATGGTAAAACTGACGTCCCGGTGAATAAACCATGGTACAATTACGGTACAAATGATTTATGACCGCGGTTTAGACTGGTATCAATGTTGTTATAATTATGGTTGAGCATCGGCATGATCCGATATCGGCCGATATTAAATAGTTTTTCAAACCTATTTTAGACCCGATATTTTTTATTTGAAAACAAAAGATGCTCGTTTTAATAAACACATTACTAACTTCATAAAATGCGTTGTGTATAGTTTATATACATATTTAAATTATATCGGTAAAAATCGGATGTCGGATTTTTTTTGAGACATCGGATGATTTGAATTACGTTTTCAAACAGTTATCGGATCAGTTATCGGTTTCATATCGGTAGCAAATATTTGAATATCGGATATTGGAAAAAAGACACATTGGCACACCACTAATTATAATGTCAAAATAATTACGGTATTTGAATATTGAAATGTAACGTGGGAATGCTAATACGAGCGAACGGAAAACATTTTCAGTTCCGCACAATAAACCGGATAGCAGTGCCTATATAAACGGCCGGGCGGAGAGAAAAATCGGTCCGATTCAAATGTTTGCGTCCCTATTGAACAACTGAAATGACGCCCCCGGATTCCGGGGCCCCGGAACACAATAAATAGTAATCGCACGTACGATTTTGATTGATTAGTTTGATACATAACATTAACCCTAACCATAGATATAATAAATAATGGCGTATTAACTGAACGAATTGAACTCCGATAGTAAAAATACCTTTGATCTAATCTGCGTCGTCTTTAAAACACGAGATAACTGTCAATGTTTCCAATCGGTCAAATTGTTGTTATTTGAAATTTCGATAGTTATATTTACATTTTAGAATTTTTTTTTTTTTTAATTTAAAAAAAAAAAAACGAATACAAATAAATATCCGTAGTGCAGCCACACACTGTACAGTTGACGCGTTACTACAGTCTCGTATTGCACAAATGTTCGGTATACGGTTACGACCGCGTCGTCGATAATATTATAATCATCATTCGTACGTAATGTATTCGATAAACCCACGTTTATACGACGATTATTCTTCAAAGTTCTTTTGGAGTTATGAATCGCGTTGTTATTGAAATGCGTATTGACGCGTCGCCTCGGATGTCGCATGATTTCGAAGAGAAAAGAAAAAAATATCGTTATACCGGACGACGGTGCAATAATATTTTTATATTCGACGCTCGTCTCTCCAATAAGTTTTTCTGGAGATAAAAAAAAAAAATTCACGGCCTCGTACGGTCGCCGTCATAAACATCATAATATTCCCTTTTCTTTTTCTTTTCGAGACGTGCAACTTAATAATTTTATCCATCTAAAATAACGTTTTACGCCACGCACGTCGTCGTAACGCGTCCATCATTCTGACTTTTTCACTGCGTATTGTGTAAAAGTGACAGGAAACAGTACGAACATATTTCGATAACCGTATCGCGCGGGGTTCAGACCTCAAAATAAAGTTAGAAAAACGCAAGGTGGTTCGATTTTCGGTAAATCGGAATTCAGTGAGTGAACCGCTCTGTAATGTAAAATGCGGTGTACCTGTTTTTTTTTTTTTTTTGATATTAGAAAACGCGATAAAACGAAATTGAATTGCGCGCGAATACCGTCACAAAACGATTTCTGGTGTTCCGAAATTTTCGCGAGTGGATTTGATAAAATTTATTTTTTTTTCGTAATCTTTACGAATCTTAAAATATAACGTATATTTGAATTTCGTACAAATTTTTATTCCGTTAGAACTTTTTCACCGCTATTTATTAACGATAGTATTTTGTCAAACAAACGAACATTTGGTCTGTAAAATTTACGTTTTAATCGAGTTTAGTTCGATTTGTATATTTTTGGTGTAATGTTTTAAAGTTTTTTTTTTTTTTTTTTTTTTTTTTTTCATTATTTTTATTCATAGGAAGCGTGTCGTTACATATATGATTATAATTTTGTGTTTTACGCGCCGAGTACCACTCTCGCGCCGTTCAAAAACTAACTGGCGCGCTCGAAACATAAAATATAGCTATGGAAACTATAGAATAGTTTGAATAGTATTGTTTATACTTTATACACAACTTAAACAGTGTTAAATGTCGGACAGTCCGAACATTTTTCTGACTATCTTGTACACGAGAATGCGCTAAGCACGTGACGCACAGCGAGTCGTTCGCTGATAAGATGACGCTCGATCGTATTATGCGTGTCCGCGAATAGACAATAACACCAATAACCGATAACACGTTTCGTCTGCTAAACAGTTGTATGACTATCGAATAATATATACTTTCACTATACCGAACGGTTTTTCGACAATCGTTTATCAGACTCGGCCGTTTGACAGTACGCGTGACTATTCGGTATAGTGGCCAACGCTAAATTAAAATACTACCCCGGTGACATCCAAGGGCGCCCACAGAGTGTCATTTTATGTTAGGAGGAGGGGAACAAAATGAAACTAGATTCCAGAAAATATTCATAGCATATAGGTATCTATATGGGTTAGAATTTTTTGAAATTTTGGACGAGGAAGAAAAGGTATGTAATTATGTAAACATTAGGTTTGAAAAAAACTGTTAAGTACTGAAAATGAAATCAAGGCATTATAGTATTCTACAGTTTACAGTTTACATTATACATTTTAATAGATAAATGGATTATTTGTTTTTAAATAATAACACTTTACAAATAGCAATTAACAAATACCATTGCATAAGAATCATAATATGAAATACCTATTTTACATTTTTTCGGAGGTACTTTATCATTTTCTAGAGGGGGACATGACCCCTCTTGCCCCTTCCCCCGAATGGACGTCCAATGTGGCATCCAAAGATTTTAAAACCTGCAGTCTAGATGTAATTGCACACTAGTATCGATATTTACCGGATTCAAACAGCCAAGATTTTAACGGTTCGACTTTATACTGAAGTTCCGATTTTATACGTTTATGTTTGATGACATTTTTCATCATAACACGACGCGATTTTATAAACGCCTGGAGAGGGCAAGTTATCTTTACGCGTACATTACGGACTCGGCTACATCGGGCCGTAAATCAGACTCTCGGAACGATAAAACGGCGATTGTTAATTTTTAATCGTGACTTATTCGTCGTTTTACGACGTTATTTTAGATTCTGAGTGTAGCGAAGAATGTATTGGTTTTACTAATACGTTTTTTTTTTTATATACTGTGTACACAAATTCGACCAGAAATGAACAGAAATCTTAATCAGATACATACGCGCGGCACCATTTCTAAAAGGGAATGTTGTCCAGATGGTACTTTTAGGATGCCATTTTTTTGATTTTCCAAACTGTTTTATTTACGACGATCGTAATAATACTATAGTAGAGTTTCTAATTTTCTATAAGTTTCGGATTTATGGTTTTGCGTTTTCGCGTGCAGGTAAAATTATTACTATCAATGGCGAACCCGGGGGATTGGAATTTAAATTACCCTTATTATATGATATTGTACTTGAATTGTAAATAATAATATATCCAATTGTTAAATATTGATTTAAAACGATAAAAAGGTCAACGATGACGTTTCTATTTTTTGCAAAACTCCTCTCCCCTTAACATTATTACGTCTTTACGAAATAGACTCGAAAAAAAATTGTTTGTATTCTTTTCCCTATTACCTAAACAAGGAAAAAACAAATTAGTTTTAGATGTACCTAGAGACCTAAGCCATCGTTCTCTAAGACTATTTGAATCGCAAAATACCCCTTGATTTGTTGTACAAGTTTTCTACTATAAATCTTGCTCCGATGTATCAAATGTAGCTTATTTTCCAAAAGAAAATTTTATCCCCGTGGGAATTTAGGAAGGTAAATTTTTGATTTTTCAAGCGGCTTTCATAATATCTGGGACAAAACGGGAAAAAATGTCAGAAAAAATGAAAATGTACGAAATGTAGGTATTAGTAAAAAATATTATGGCCTCCTTTTTTTCTGTTAACAACTTTTCTACCAGAAATGTTTCTTCGATTTACAATCGAATAACGATATCTGACTTGGAAGGTACTTCAATTTATGGTTTTCTCAAGAGTTTTCCAAGCAAATGTGAAAGACCGGGAAAAAATATGGGAAATTTAGAAAAACACAAGAAAAATGGGAAAATCGGTACAATATTAAACAAATATTATTAAAGAAAATATATAATACCTATTTAATTGGGTATTTTACCATAATATGACATATATATTGTTGACAAAACATCACTATTAACTGAACTGCGCTCAGAATCGTTTTTTCGTTAGCAATGGTTTATCGTTGCTTACAGATATACATTAAATTACCTATAACAGTGGCTGCACTCATTTCCATTATTCTAGGACGTCTTTTTTTATTTTAACTTAATTTTGGACCGAAAGGGTTAGACGTCTATTATTATGTAACTGATTTATATTCATTTTATAAAGAGGGTGCAACAAAAAAGCAAAAAAAAAAAAATTATAAAAAAAAAAAAAAACACTTACGAGTATATATATATATATATATATACATGTACTTTTTCCCAGAAGCGAGGTGTAAGGTAACGGTTAAAAAATAATACAATAATAATAAAACACCAAAGGTAATATGATATTATATAAAATGTATTATAATAATTGCCCGCCTACCGCCTACGACCTCATAATGTAATGCGCGGTAAAATAAACCTTACAAACAATAAAAACCGTACGCAATCAGGTATGGGTGTACGTAAAGTTTCGAAGGGGTAGGAAAAAAGGTCAAATCCTTTATACCCGTACACCTTTTATACTATCGCCGTACGGCGTTCGGTCTCCGAATAGTTGTGTGAATAAGTCGTTTTGGAAAACAAAAACAAAATGATACGGACACACTTCGCACGATGGGTGGGCCACACTGTTATATAGGTGAGAGGTTGAGTAGGGTAGGATATAGAGGAGAATTAAATGTGTATCCGTACGCAATGGTTAATCTCTGCAAAGGAAAAACGATTCTGGGCGGAGTTCGGTTATATACGTTTTGAAAGGCAGTAATATTTACGATTTTATAATGATAAACATAAATTAGTACATTCCCGGTTTTTCTGCGTTTTTTCCTGGTTTCTTCCCGATTTTTCCCATTTATTATAACATTGAAATTTGGTCCGAGATGGGGAAGGGGGTTTCGGATCCGGTGTCCACCCCCTTGGTTGGCGCCCATACACTTTAGAACGGTCTCTGACGCGTTACGACTCGACGATTTTATATTATTGTTATTATCATTCCTGCGGTAGTATTTTATCGCGTTCGTCTTTCCGATCCAACGGCGTAGCATAATACGCGAAAAGAAATCGAATTATTTTAAACTCGTTATTTTTTCTCCTATATATTGTTGATGATTTTCCCGAGAAATTACAAAATCGTATTTCTCGCGTATCGCGCAAAAGCTCTGTCTTTCTGAAATTCTGCAACAGCCAAAGAAACTGCCGTATGACCTATTTTGCACCGCCGACGACGGTTTTCTCACCGACAATATTATATTATATTAAGTGCATAAGTACTCGCGGTACTCACGTCTACTGCGACGCTGCTTATTTTCTCGCGGGATTTTATTATCTCCTAACCACGGTAAAACATACTCTTTACTCTACGTTGTTTTTTTTTTCTTTCGGAAATTCAATTTTACGACAAAAAAAAACACTGTACGCTATATAATAATAATATAATAATATCGTATTATTATATTATGCCGCTACTGTAGATGGCACCGTGTTACGAACACTCGTAAATTATAGGAACGTAATATTTGTACGGATTATCGACGACCGGCAAGAAATCTTCAACAAATAATTACACGTTACGTTGTGATTTCGCCGTGTTTTAATCTATAAAATCTAACGCTAAATGTTCAATAATCGTGTTGTACTTTATAATACCATTGCGGTAGGATGTCGGCTCACTATTTGTTTTCTTTTTGCGTCCCACACGAAACATTTGGTACGAATTTATACACGTACAGCAGAACCAAACTTGTATCGTTGGCTTAAGCATTAGAGCGAATCGACATGTCATCAAACTGAAAGTCAAGAACATTATCCGCGTTTGCGCGGTGGTTTTTTTTTACGATACTTCAACCTTTCTACGATCTATAGGTATGCAAAGTATTGAAATTTAAAAATACTCATGTATCGTAAAAAAACGCCAACATACAAACACGGACAATGTCCATAACTTTAAGTATGAATAGTTTGATAATAGGTCAGTTCACGACAGCTGACAAGCTCTTAAATATTTAGTTTGACTGTCTGTCCTGAAAAACTAGAAAAACCAGACTTGTCACTCTTTAGTTTATTGTCCAATGTTTAATTCAGATTTTTACTCCAGGAGCGAGGCAAATTCCACTCTTTAGAATTCCATTCGAACCCACGTTATCCTGACGAAAACAACTGTCGACAAAATGTATTTAATAAATATACAATTGTCGTAACATTCTACATCGAAATGGTCAGGGAAAAAAATGAACCCCCCCAGAAAAATGTTCTGGATTCAACGCTAATTATATACTTTGTTTTATATTTATATTATCGCAACAAAATTAATAGTGTCGTATTCGTTTGCAAAGTTCGTTTTCTAATAAACTTCTCTTTTCTTTTTTTTTTAATTTCGTTCGATTTTTCGATGTTTAATCATACGCCCCCGTTTGCAACACTATTTAGCTTTGTACAACTTTCTTTTGATTATTGTTTTTCACGTCGCGTTGTTGATGCCATTTTTCGTGGATATACATTTTAGTTTTTCCGACGCCATTAATTATTTAATTTTAACTTCTCACTGAACGCCTGACTGTGACTTTTTTTAGGAAAACTATTTAATCATTTAAACGCGCGTATGTGTAAACTCCTACACAAAAGTCACAAAAAACGACTATAACACTGCAGTACACGGTTCTCGTCGTCACCCCGCAATGACAACTATCGACTGTTGAGTTATTGCTGACATTTTTTTTTCCTCGCTTTGTTTTTTTTTTTCTTTTTTCGTGTAAAATATAATATGATACGGGGGTATACACAAACCTATGCTGTATTTTATATACGTATCGCGTTATTATTTCAAATGTCCAAGGGGAAAGCTTTGCGATAAAGTTTCCGGGCCGGTATCGGGACGCGGGAACCCCAGTTCGCCATAAACAAATGGCGCGGTCGACAGCGCAACGACTGCGCGCAGATTTCGCGTAGAATTCCGAGTTCGAAACGGCAGTAGGACGTTTACGTTAAACACGCACACCCGGACAATCGGGGCTACGGGTCACGGCGGAAATGCACTGTACTCGTATTTTATATAGTAAAATGTTCAAATATTATAATATTCTAGAAACGGTTATTGGCACGGACGACGGTTATAAATCGCATTGACAATAGCACAACACAACGGTCCCAGCAATAATTACCCGCGACAATAATCGATAATAATATTTGTTTTTCGTACCGACAAAGACCGTACAGCCATTATTCCATTATAACGAACCGTTTGACGATATTTTTATTGTTCTCGAGCCGAACGTTTTCCGACTTTTACACCTTACCCGCAAACACATCGTCGTATCAACTTTTTCGAACTGCGTCCGTCGCCGTTTCCCAACCGTACCCGAAAGTATGGGATTAGTTTTCAAAAAACGTCGATACCTTGGTACTCATAAAAACAAGGCGATTCATTAAGCGTGCGAACCCCGTGTTTATCATTATTATATCAGATTTTCGGTTGAATAACCAAAGCTGGTATCGCGAAAAGGTACTCCTTAAAAGTTGTGGTAAACCTAAATATTCGAAAACGTCTACTACGCTTAAAAATTCTAAAATTTTGAATTTTTAAAAATCCAAAACTTAACCACAAAAATATGGTGAGCTTGCTTAATGAATCACCCTGTACTTATATTTATATATTATATATAAAACCACGTTTGTGGGTTATAATAGCGGTTTCAAATTTTGAGTACGGAAGGATTATCGTCTAAAATCGAACACGAAATTTGTCTACGTTCTCCTACACTCGTCCGGTCGCTACTTTTATTGAAAACTATAAAAACCGAAAGTTCAAATTATTAAACATGGAATTTTTCTATCTTTCGTAAATGTTTCATTTGCAATTAAAAAATAATTTTTTAGTTTATTAAGCACGATGCATTAAGTCCTCATTGTACGTGTATGCGATGAAAAATCAATAAAAAAAAAAAAAAAAAAAAAAAAAAAAAACGATAAATACAATAAAGTTCACCATATCCATAAAAAAAAACTAAATAAATAAATAAAACGAATTGTAATCGAAAAGTTTTTATGTGCAATAAAATGCCTAGGTATATGTCGAACAGCTGTTTTTGAACTATACACCTACGATCTATCTATAGATATAGATATTTTATTTCTTTTAAAATACATTGAAACTTGCAGTAGCTATGATTGTGTGCACTACAAAACACTTTGTATACTATTAAATTCCAAATGTACAATACGGAAAATTAAAACGTGCACCAGCCACCTACGTATTGTTTATAGACGAGTCACAAGGTCCCACAGATGTAAGAAAAGCATTCGTTTTATTATTATTATTTTCAGTGTAATCAATCCAAGGATAAGACTCGTATCCAGGAAAGTATTTTACAATTATTTTTTATTTTGTAGAAAACTTATGAAACAAATAGGTTTGAAGTGTTAAATTCCCGTAATTTATCATTATTCTTATTTTTGAGAGTGACTATATCCATTACTGTCGGTTTTTAATTAGCAGCCTACATTAAAACTCATTAAATATATGACGTTTTAGATGACATTTTTAATATCCGCCCCGCTCACATATATCAAAATTAAATACATAATATTGTGTATGATATCTCACGTAAATGCCAGAAAAAATATTATTTTTAATTCCAATCAATGTTCTTTAATTTGTTTTAATGGGAAATCGCTATCAAATCCTCTAAAAATAATTATAGTTTTTGATTGGTAAACACTATAGTTATGTATTAGAGAACTCGATTGGAAAAGTGAATGAAAATATCAATACATAATACACGACATGAATTTACTATCCTTGTTTATTTGATTCAGTGTTATTCGCATGAACTAGGAAGTTCGGAGTAGACTCTGCGATTTTTCCGACTTTGCTTCGTATAGATTTTAGATTCTGAGTGTAGCGAAGAATCTATTAGTTTTACTAAGATGTTTATTACTTTTTTTTTCTTTGTTTATAATATATACAAAACTTCGACCAGAAATCTTACTTAGATATATACGCACGGCACCATTTCTAAAAATGAATGTTGTCCAGATGGTACTTTTGGAAGACCATTTTTTTGATTTTATATGCGGTTTTCATAATAACTGGAAAAACTAAAATAAAACAAGAAAAACAGGAAATGTACGAAAATAATACTTTTATTATTTTTCAATTTTGTTATTCGTTGTAATTCAGTTAAAAATATTCGTAAAGACTTGAAATTCGGACAATAACTTATATTTTCTTTTTCTAGGCACGGTAAAATTTTTAAAAAATTTAAGTCATTTTTGAACTATTTATAGACGTTTTAATTTTGCGAGTTTTATACGTAATTTATATTCATTAGGTACTCTGTGGTAGAAATATTAGACACGAACAGAAATACTTAAAAATTTAACAGGACGTTCATTAGGATTCTAATTTTGTAGTAAAAACAAATTGAGTTTAATGTAGTATTTTTTTTTTTTTTTTTAAGGGAATTTCAATATTTAATTTTGACGAAAATCTGTTTGAGTAAAACCTTATGTGAAATAAATCTAATTTAAAATTTTTTTTTTTTATGAACATATGTATATTGCCGATTTAAAAACGACGGAAAAGTCAGAATTAAGCGGACTAAGTTTCGAAATTATAGTTTTTTGAAGTTCTGATATTATGCGGATATTATATGTTATGTTGAATAACTCTATATTGAAGCATATTTATCGTGATCTAATGGTTTTTTATGCCTATTATCATCCTAGGGGTTCCAAATTCAAACCAGTGTTTACTAAAAAGATTGTTTGCAATTTGTCTCCCTTTTACCTAAACAAAGTAAGGTACTTTAGGGAAATAACTTTCGATTTTCCCAGAGTTTTCCTAGAAAATGTGAAAACCCGAGAAAAACGTAGGAAAAAATGGGAAAATCAATACAATATTAAACAAATATTATTAAAGAAAATATATAATGCCTATTAAATTATTTTACTATGATATGACATATATATTATCGACAAGGCACCGTTATCAACTGAACCGCGCCCAGAATCGTTTTTTCGTTAGCAAAGGTTTATCTTTGCTTACAGATATAAATTAAATTACCTATAACAGTGGCTGCACTCATTTCCATTATTCTAGGACGTCTTTTTTTATTTTATTTGTTCCATTTACTGTATTTTTCATTAATATTCGTGTTTAATAGTTATGTTTTAACACCGTTACCGCAGTAAGTCAGTTTAATGTATCTAACTTTTATAGGCATTTGATAAGGCGTGATCTTTCGGACGGAAATAATAAAAAATAAACCACCAAAATTACGGTGGCGCGGAATCCGAAATCCCATCGCTGGTTCATTGCGTTATGTCGCAATAAATTATATTATTATATTAATATCATAAACTCGTAAAATATTTAAAAAATATTACTTTTTTATTTTAATCATTAATTTTATGACGATCGAGTTTTATATATACATATATTTTTTATTTTTTTTTTAAACAGACGCCATTTTCTTTTTCCTTTTTTTGTACGTCTCACGAATAAAAATTAATTTTTTTATTAAACCGTAATTATATTATGTTTAAAGTTTTTAGCCACGATACGACTAAATAGACCATATCGTTATTATATTACGATACAATATTATCTTACCCTGTGAATTGTAATGGAATTCGAATTTTTGTTCTGGATTCTGCGCGAAGCAAATTGGTTTTATTATGATGTGTGCGGGTTTTTTTTTTTTTTTTTTATATCGTGTAACTCTTCTACCGAAAATCTCGATCCGATCTGATCATATATTCCATAACAGCTTTTTCGTAGCATTTTGGATATAGTCGGCGCATCGAGGACATCCGTGAACCACGTTGAACGAGGAGGTTACACAGCGATACTCAGGGACGGTCACGATTTTATGTAAAAATATCGATTAATTTTTTTGAATCGACGACCGTTTCTAAAAAGCACTTTTTCTCTTGCTCTCCGTTTTCTTCCTCGAGTAGTACATTCGTTAATATTCCCAATAGTAGGAGATCTTTTTTTAAATTATACCGGTTAAACGTTGATAACGATAATAATATTATTGTTATTATTATTCATTATCGCTGGCGATCGGTCCACTATTCTCGTATTTTCGAACTTCCAATAAACAAAAACCATAATATTATTATTATTATTATCGATTATTGCCGATAATATTGTCCGTAAGCGTGTCACGTATTCGTTTTATATTCTTGGGCGCCGCCCGTTTTAAAGTTTTTCTCGTATATAATTTTCCAAAAGTTTTAACTGCGATATGTGTTTTTTATTATTTTTATTCTATTTGTAAACAACTTTTTGAACAGAACACTTACTCTGACCGAAAAATGACAAGAGACCTTTTTTTTGTTACATTTTGGATCTAGTTGGTTTTTTTTCAATAATTCAACAAACCCGGAAAAAAAGTAGAAAAAAAAGGAAAGTTAACGGAAATAATAGTTTCGATGTCTTCAATTTAGTTTTTTGTTGTAATTCAGTTAAAAATATTCGTAGGGGCTTGTAATTTTGACAAAAAAAAAACTTATGTTTTTCTTTTCTAGTCGTGATAAAATGTTTCGTTGATCGTTCGACAAAACGGAAATGATTGAAACTCAACAGGTGTTTCATCGACTTGTATTAATGCACGTATCACATCATTGTAAATATTTTCGGTCAACGTACAATACGTATATTATGCAAGAGTTGCCGATGTGCGGCGTTTTGCTTTATCGGTTTTCGGTTATCCGGCTGATTTCGTCATAATTTAATTATTACTACTGCGGGTAGATTATCGAATGGCATACGAATTTCAGAGTCTCGTGAGCTCTCGCCCACCCCCCTACCCCCCACCCTCACGGTACTCTATACCTGTACAATAATATGCCGTTGTTTAGTATTGTTTTTATTTTTTTTTATTATCCTCCGTCCATGTATAATACAGCGTATACGTGTCGTTTTTTCGCCGGTAACGATACATTTCTCCGCGGCCATAATTTAAAACTGTCGAAATTCTTCGCCGAACCGCGCGATAAATTTTATTTCCCCCCCCCCCTCACTACACCGCGCCTATTCTGTATACCTACGCGGTCCGTATATTCTTATTCGGCACCGATTTCTCTTGCGGCACCGAGTATATTATGCATATTATAGTACAATACCGCATACTATACTATATATATATATATATATATATATATACACACTAACAAATAATCAAAATGTACCGACTTCGATTCGTGCTCGCGTATTACGGTTTTGCCGCAATAACATAGCCCTTCGATTTTTACACTAACAAACGTATACATATTATATCCGCAGAGTTGCGTATCGCCGTCACGGCGAACCTCCCGCGGAACGTCTAAATGTCTGAGCACATTATCTGTTCTTCTCCAGTCGAATTACAGAATGCCCAAAAAGAATACACATATTTTATGGATATAATAATAATAAAAAAAATAAAAAAAAAAAAATACGAGCACATGTTCGGTTAGATTTCTACAGTCATCTTATCGAATATGCGAACGCAATGACTTCGTAATAATATACAACGGGTGGTTTTTATGCGACTATTTATCATGTCCGTCGGACATCCAGTATGTTAGGAGTGTATGATGTCGTTATAATTGCCGTGCGCCCACTAGAAATTAAATGGTACACTATTGAACTCTTGTGGATTTTATACCATTACGTTTTTCGTGTATTGGAAATAATGATCTTATTTGTGGAGGCAGAGGTACCCGGGACGTATCATGATGTTTAGGAAACGGTTGTTTTTTTTTTTTTAATTCGTTTTTGTACTCGACCGGTGTTTATCGAGAGCCGAATAATGATATATCGGTCGATAAACTGAGAAGACGCCCATCTTTTACTAAATTAACTGAAAATGTCGTACAAATCAAAAGGAACAATAATTAATTGTTTAGTAATACAATGGAAAATTAGCAATGTATAGTTTCAATAAAAAAGAGCTGACACCACTGATGACAGTGTCACTAAGAAAAGTTGGAAAGGTCAAAGGGAGCATAATATAAGAGTAATTTAATTTATATTTGTACTCAAAGATAAACCATTGTTAAACATGCCATTGCTAATTTTTCCCAGCTATTATGTTAACCTCTCGGTTGACTCCAAAAACTGCCTTCCCTATTGCACCAAATTGATTCAAAATGCAACAAAAAGAGCTACTATTATTATTTTACAAATGGAACGAAATTTCCAGTTGAAAAATGGTTTACGAACACAAACAATAAAATAAAAATACACATACACATCATAGTAAAGTCAACTCATCCGTCGCTTCACTTGAAATCTAATACGAATTAGTTTTCACGAAAGTTTTTATGTGCCCAACGAGTAGTAAAATAATATTATGTTATAACAAACGACAAAAAAATATTACGTTTTAAAATTGAAACCGTTTATTCGAAAGATAGAAAAAAAAAAAACCGAATGTGTTGATAAACGTTTTATTGTTCGTATAAACGTACATTTCGTACAATAAATCTGCGGATGGCGCGACCGAAAATTTTCGCAACGAAAAAACGCGCCGCCGGATTAAACATCAAATACCCGAACAAATCGCACAGGTGTGCACGTAATAATATAATACGATGACGCGAATAATTTAATATTGTTTGACAAACGTCGTATTATTGTAATTTATCGGCGCACGCCGTAACGTTATTGCGAGACATATTCAAACGAGGAGCGGAGGAAGTGACCGGGGTGGGGGGCCGAAATACGCCTCTGCGACAAATGATATATGAATATACACACCGTGATTGCGCACAATTTTTTGAAATGATAAATTATTGAATCGAACAATGAACAACGTGACGTATTTTTTGTCGTTTTACTAATTAAAATTTATATCCGGCGCAACAATAGTCACAGACGAATTCGCTAGTAATTTATGCGCGTTATAATCGATTCCCGTATTAGGATAGGTTAACAGTAAACGCGAGGCTGAGGACAAGGCGAGTCGATTAATAAAACTTCTGTTCGGTTACGTCGAATCAATTGGGGATGGCGGGGAAAGTCCTATTGATTAAGTATTACGAAAGGTCAAACAAAAATTTGGAACATTTTTGTAACAAACTCGATGTTAAATTTAACTAGGCGCGTGTGATTTTTTTAATTTTTCGATAATACAGATTATCAATATCGGATGAATAATTATTCCGGGAATATCAATGAATAATATTCGTTTTGAATTCGTGAATGTTTGAATGAAATTCGGAATTTCGTGAACGAATCGCAATACTGAGTAGAAAAAAAAAATGATTTATACGAATACCTGTTCAAATTACAAATAAATTCAATATCGTGTTAAATTAAAAAAAAAAAAAAAAAAAAATTAACACACAAATCGTAAACTAACTAGTTACTGTTAGGTTAAAAAAAAAATAAAAAAATAAAAAATGACTTTTCAGTTGTTTTAGACCACTGTAGTCAATAAAATATAATCAAATATAAAAAAATATAAATCAAGTTAAATAAAAATATAAAAATAACAATGTTATAATATATATTATATTACACATATGTGTACAACAAACAAATAATACATAATTTATATATTTATTGTTCTTTTTACAATTGTCCATCTATTTTCGATTGAATCTGCACTATATGATTTATAGCTTTTAACCCATGATTGTTGCATTGATCAAAATCCGTTTTGCACTACTGCATATTATAAACATTATCAATTGGGACGATCGAAGAATGCATCTTCATAATGTAATTATTTCGAAAGAAAAAAATAAAAACGAAATTTCGTGAATTTCTCACCTTTACGTTTAAGGCGAAAAACAAATTACAGACAAATTGAATACGATAAAATATCGTATGTGCTTACCGTAACCGGCATGAGCGACCCGATGAGTATAGTCGATATAGTAATTGTTGGGCGGATCCAGGAAAAGATAATGAAGCTCGGATGGGAGGTTGATTGTTTTTTAAATGCGTATTTGTGCGCACGCACATTTATGTGGAGCAAATCAAGCCAATAGTATATTGGGGAACGAACGTGGAGACGGAAATTGGGGTCCCCCTCCCCTAGATCTACCGCCAACGGGTAGTCATTTTTATTCTGCGGTCGACGGCACTTCACTAAAAAAAAAAAAAAAAAAAATAATCGACATGATATTATATAGGTGTTTTAATGTCTGTTTTGTTACGAAAAAGGCACCCGGATCATTATAGAAAGTTCATTTTTCCGTCGGATAAATATTAGCTTTTCGACTTGTTTTTTCAACGGAAATATACGCGATTATAGTGATGGCCGCGACGCATAGATATACAATCATTATATCACCAGTATTGACAGTGGCGATTGTAAAATTGTTCAGCGTGCCGTCCGAAATCGCGATGTGTTTTCTTTTCCGTTTTTCTTATTAAAATATTAACGTAAACGGGGCCGGACATCAATAATATGCGTTGGAACAACATGTATACGAATCGACCGGAAACGATTCGCCTAAGTGGCGGTAATGCTAATTTACTATAGACGTCACATTTATAGTGACGGACGTACAACAGATACACTAATATAAGGACGGTACCAAATACATACGATACTCGATACGGGATACGAATGTCGACGTATTGATCGTTAATATTTTGTACTGGGGAAAAAAAAACTAAATTTCTCTTCGGAATCTAAAAAACACTAATCGTTAAAATGTCGACGTAAAACCTCGTTATGAAACATAAAACTATACTAGTTTATACCTTGTTCAAATCAATTTATCCCCGCGACGACTTGCGGTGTTCGCGTCGCATTACAAACCCGTGGGGGCGATGTCTCAACAATCCCCTTAACACGACACCAATGAGCCACTCTACACATTTAATTTACAATTGTTTAAATACAAATGTATCGTGACTTTTCCATTTTATTTTTTTTACACGCATATTACATATTGTCTGTAATCGGTAATTCGTTCTGGTTATTAATTATTATAAATCGCGTGGATAAATAATTTAGTCGACACCGTGAAAAAAGCGTATTTGGTATTGGAGGAGGGGTATTTTCGGGGGCGCTAGTTTTAAACCTGGAGGCGCTCAAGACCGCCGTACATCTTATACCCTAGTCGCGCATACGATAGAGTGTCGAAATCGACGTCTGGAATCGCCTGGATTCACGAAATCGCCTTGACGTAATCGCGTGGATTTTAGCGGGGTGTCGCGCGTCCCCGAAAACCGTCTGTCGTCGATCGCAATAACCTCGAACGTTATTTTTTCGAGATTTATTTCCGTCGGTTTTCTCGCACCGTGTACCGCGAAAACCGGATAAAACGTTCTTCGGACAAACGCAATATTCGTCGATCGATTTCGTTCCGGAGATTTTCGTTGAAACGATTAAACGAACTATTATACTCAGAAGTTTATCTACTCGACGCCTCTGCACGATGAGACACTATTCTTTTTGATGAAGCGAGATCGATTCTCAATCGACCGACGGTTAATAGACGAAGGGCAAATAACAAAATAATTATTTAATAACTATCGTCGCATTGGATTTGTTTTTTTTTTTTTTGATGGTGACAATATAATTAAACCTTACAACAATAATAATAATCGTAATGACAAAATTTTGTGTTTTGTATCTGATATAAGTCACGCCGAAATGCTTTCGCCATTTGGTTCTTCCATCGAGCCAACCAAGCTCACATTAAATATGTTGAAACAACCATTATAATACACTTATCGTAAATTTATTTTATGTAAGGATTGAATAAAACTTCAAATTAAAAATAAAATAAAATATCTGATATATTATTATTATTATTGCGATATCGTTGAACAATAACGTTAAGAAAAGCTTTTTCGACTGAAATACGCAGTGGATTTATCAGTTGCGACAAGGGCTCTTGTATAATTTAACAAAGAGAAAGTAAAAAAAAAAAGTCTGATTAATAAGATTTCTTGTAAAGTGTCAGGTGATTTTTTATATATTTTTTTCGCCTTCCGTGCATAAAATAACCCTTTAGACCCGGCCAGTTGATTATTTTTGCGTAAAAAAAACTTCCCCTAAAGTTTTATTCGTTCTCTAACAAAAAAAAAAACTACCGAAACAACAAATTACAATATAGTTCCGCGGTAACACCTAGCTGGATTGCAATAATTAAAATGAGCGTGGTTTTTTTTTTTAATTATTATTATTTATTAATTTAATGAATACAACGGAAACCTTGCGAAGTTTTCGAAATCGTCACCGCCATCGTACCGGAGATCAAATTGGACTGGGATTACAAACTCCTAAACGATTCGGTAATTATCTACGCATGGACGTAGTGTTAACTCGCATCGCATTATTTGCTTTGTTTTAAATAATATTTTCTTGTCTTATGATGTATTATTAATACGTATAATATCCGATAAACGATTTAAAACCATATTATATTATTTCTAAAATTTGGAAAACGTGCGCACGCTCACATAGTAGTATGTTTAAGTAGGAAATTACAAATTGTCTTTTTTTAGCTGGTAAAAATGCTCTGCGCAAAAGATCGCATTAACTATCTTTTGAATTCAGGTAAAAAAAAGAACTCGAGTAGGACTTTACATCATGTGACCGTCAAATTATTATCATTATTAATTATTATTATTATTATTATTATTTTTTTTTTTAATAATTCTATAGATAGATAATTTTGTTTTGTCAATTGGCGTGATGTAATTATAAAAGGTTTCTCGATTCTTGTATAGGCACCAACTGAAAAAAAACTCGGACCTAATTCCAAAAAAAAAAAAAAATGTTTTAAAAATAGTAGAGCACAGCACATAATTAAAATTAATACATTCGTCGCTGCGTTTGTACGATTTAAAAAGTTGTATAGATATACAATAACACATTGTCGTAATATTTACTGTGGAGGTTATATTTTTTATTATTATTCTTTTTAATATAATATAACATCCGCAAGATTAATCTCGTTTTTAGATTTCGGTAAACGAAAACTAAACGATTTCAGAACGACGACGCCCACTCGGCTTACCACGTTGAACTGTATTTCTATATTATATTTTATAGTGTTTGTTTAATATAATACGTTTTCTTTAAATTCCGAATTTTCGAGTCTTAACCGCGGTCCGTACACAAAAATATAAAAAAAAAGTATACTATATACACGTTATTACGAAAAACAGCGCACCGACTAACGTCTAGGTTTCGTAATTATGACGGAAAAAAAACACATACAATATTTGCGTTATCGTTTTTAATTAAAAACCGCCGTTCGCGATCGAATGCTAAATAAAATAATAATATTACGAGTGCAAGACGGACGGGAGTGTAGTGATAAAAAAAAATAAATAAATAAATCGCCAAACAAAATGTATTTTATAACGCGACGTCATCGTGTGCCTCCTATTATTATCGGCGGCGGACGAGGAGCGAGGGTCGAAGAAAACGAGTCGATCGCGAGCGCGTAAAAATATTTCGGATTACCGCAAACCGTAAAATAATATCTAAAACGGCGACGTATTTCCGCGACAACGACTCGTCGATCAAAACTGGCCAATATCGTTGTGTTTTGTCGCCGTAAAACCATTCCTGTATAATACAAACACAACTTGTACGAGCACCCAATGGGGGAGGGGGGGAATATTACAGAAAAGCTGTCCTATGGTAATGCGGACGAGTGCGGCCGCTGCTATGGATATTTCAATATTATCTATACAATTGTAAACAACTATTAACCATTGCCAACGGAAAAACGATTCTGAGCGGAGTTCAGTTGACAGCGTTGCTTTGTAAACGACATATTTTATATGTCATATTTGATTATAAAATAATCAGGCATAGGCATTATACATTCTTTAATAATATTATTGTACCTGTTTTCCCGTTTGTTGAAGTACCACCACAATAGTTCCCTCCCTTTTCGGAAGTGCTGTTACTGAAAATCGGAGCCAAATTGCTGGTAGAAAATTTGTTCACAGAAAAAAAAAAATGAACATTACTGTAAAACCACATGCTTCTTCGCTCCGCTCAGCATCTAAAACCGCGGTAAATATAAATTTAACGATATAATGTTCGATCCGTCCATATTGCACGAGTTGCGGGTCGGCTAACCCACGACTGTCACTTGTTTCATCACCGATTCGCTCGATATTTATTCGCTCGACACCGTATTAATCGGATGTCTATATAGTGTAGGTTCGTAATAAATTGCTGATTAAAAGTGCGTTTGTCAAATCGGCGTGAGTATCTGCGTGTGTATTATAAAATCGATAAGTACCCGTAACCTCCCTTCCGCGCCGCATCAATAAATCTCGCAATAAGTCAGTGTCAGATTTATACCAACGACCGTGTATATAATATTTTAGAGGGAAAACGGAGTTGATGAGCAACAGTTTTAATCCCTGTTTTTAATAAAATTTTCGAAAACACAAAAATTGAATGCGTTTGTATCCCGAGTGAAAAAAAAAAACGAAGCTAATTATAATATAACATACAGAGTATAGCACGAAAATATGATACCTGAAACGACTTTTATTCTAATCGATATTTTTTTTATTTTTTTTTAGTAATTTCTTAAGCCTTCTGATTATATATTGGATTCCTGATGGTTTTCTTTAAACTATACATTTTTTATGAACTTAAAATAAACAATTTACATTTTTTAACAAAATAGTTTTTACAAAATCCAAGCAATCATTTTATAAATATACTAGTTGTCCCGCGCCCGGCGTTGCCCGTGCCAATTTGTATTATTATTATTTTACCCATATTCATTTTTGGTTTTGGAATGGCCATGTTAGAATTGAATGAAAACAAATAGGTGGAAAGTGGGTAGTCCACCTGCGGCGGCCTAAATGTGTTCTATTGTGATATTTGAATAGTGTAAATAATAGTGATAATAAAAATTATAATAGTTTTATTTTATAATGTATCGGTGACTCGTTGACAGGCCAGTCTGTCTCAATGCATTAGCTCGACGGCGTTCATTGCGTTGCTCTTGACTTTCATTAGTACGTGTGATTACAGCCCGGTTTCTTAAATTTTCATTGTCCTCGATTTTTTTTTAAATGGGGGGGGGAGTTTGATGGGTTACAAAGGAAGTTAAGCCTAATTTAACTTATCAGGGAGTGGGGACGCTCGACAGCGGGAAAGCGCGTGTACCGTATTATAGCTAATTGCTTGTATTACTTGTATTACTGTTCAAATCGGCCCCTTTGCGTTTTGTTGGCATTGAAATATGCGCAAAACACACGTACATAGGTTAGGTTAGGTTAGCAAAATTAGCCAAATCGGCCCAGCCGTTCTCAATTGTTATTGGCACGTGGGTGCCACGGAAACCAATAATAAAAAATAACCACATAGAGTGTATATTATCTCTCCATGGCAAAATAATAATTGTTGAATATCGTGCGTGCTGGTATACTTTGACTTAAGTGACCATAACTCCGGAACCACTTATCGCAGAGCATACAAACTTAGATAGTAGCCGATTCTCAGACCTACTGAATATGCATATAAAATTTCATGAGAATCGATCAAGCCGTCTCGGAGGAGTATGGGAACGAACATCGTGACACGATAATTTTATATATAAGATTTTAAGGCACAACGTCAATGTTACAAATATTTACTAATGATGAACTGTTAAGTTTCTACAATTTTTTGAAGTTTACCAAAACCATTAGCAAAATTATTTTTCACGGACAAATTGATGAATCGATTTATAATATGATTAAGTATCCAGTGGCAATATAAACTATTTAGATTATCGTAAACTTCAACAAATCGTAGAAAATTAATGGTTCGTCATTAGTAACTATTTGTATCATCAAAAATCTGTTTCGAAATATGTTCGTAAAATGACTAATTTGGATATCATGCAAATAAGTAAGTATTGTGTGTAAAATGCACATTTATTTTTCACCAAATTACAAAAAAAAAATTAAATCGAATAAAACGAAAGAATTAACGCTGTAAATTTATCTCGTTTTTATAAAGTTTTTTCCTGGTTTTTGTCAATTATTATGAAAAATACACGAAAAATCAAAGACTAATTTTCTTACTCGTCAATTAAACAAAATTTTGTTTTAGAAATTTGAAGCGAAATTTCCGGTAGAAAACAAATATCGAAAAAAATTAAAACAATAAAATCGTTAACGGCGTAAATTTGTCCGTTTTCCTTTGCGGTTTTTTTTTACCAGTTTTCCTGAAAATTAAGTAAACCACTTGGGACATTGAAAGAATTACCGACCGATGCGCCAGATAGATCCGAAATTCAACGAAAAAGAAAAAGTATCTCGGCATTTTTTTATTGGATAACGATTTCTCGTAGAAAAAGTTGTTCGAAGACGGAAAAAAAAGCGCCCGTTTTAGTAAAATCAATATCGTGTTTCTCGCTCCGTTCGGAGACGAAAAACTCAAAAATATATCGAACAAAACTGATGCGGGACGACAAACGGAATTTAAATTATAAAATCACTGCGACCGTATTTATTTGTATATACTGCCCTCAATGAGCATTACGTCGCTTATAAAATCCCGCATCCGAACCCTTTTCAGTTTGACACCGTCGTCGATGTACGGCGAAAAATGTCCCGTTTTGCGCGTTACACACGCATAAAGGTATAGTATATAATATCCAATTTAATCCGTTTTACGGTTGTTACGCGAAATTATTATATTTCCGTTCTTCCGACCGACGTCACTCGAAATTGAATTATAGAATACGTGCAGCTTTCACGACGACGACGATGGATGTAAGTGCGTTTTTCGGAAACAATTACCGCGTCCGCGGATTTTCCAGCGACGGCTTGTCGGCTGTTATACGCGACGCACTTATCTATTTTGCGGCCGTATGAATTATGATATTACACAGGCACTTATAAGTCATTTTCCGCCCTGTATACCGAGCCAGTTTTCATTATATTATAAGAAACAAAATGAATTTAGCGTGCATACGGTATACCAGGTGAAACAGTAGAGTTATCTTATTTTCGTCATTCATTTCAAATATTTCCCGATTATCCCGTGTCCCTCGACGAAACTTCAGTAACGGGTGGTCATGCATTATAGTTCCACGTATAAAACAAACAGAGTTGATAATAAAATCGTAGTTTTCGTTTAAAACCGCTTGAGTCGGAGAGAATGAAACGATAGATATTGAACATAATATATTATAAAGCGAACGTTTATATATTATCTTCTTTATACAGGGAGATCCACGAAGAATCGACTAATGCAATAACTTTCATCCTGTTCAATATTTTGTACTTTCGTTTAACGATGACCGAAGTCTACAAGAACTTAACAAATTTTATTTTATTTGACGAATTTCGCATTGATTCAAATTTAAATGTAGTTATAGGCGATATTTTCGAATACTTCAACTTTTCATAACATTAAAGGAACATCCTGTGGCGATACCGATTTTGATTTTTCAAAGAATGAATCTGTATTTAAAATTTTATAAAATAAATAGACTATCAAATTAGATAAATTTCGGTGTTAAAATTTGTAATTTCCGTCCTCCCGTTGACGAGATATTTTACTTTGTAGTTTTGCTATATAAGGAGAGTAGTTTTTAGTATTTTTGATCAAAAATTGAATTTTATTTGTCGATTTATTTGATTAAATCTGGTTATTGCAGTTACTTTGGGCAACATGGGTATAAGTCACGGGAAAACACGTTAAAAAAAAAAAAAAAAATAAATACTTTCGTTTAATACTAACACGGACAAAGCCATGCGGGACATGCTTCACAACAGCAAGCGGAGTAAAGCAGAGTAGGAAATGAGGACCAAAATGAGATAAAATATCAACGGGAAGCTCCCTAATAGGCACCCGTTAATTGAACAAGTGGTTCCCGGAAAGATCGAAAAGTTTCGTGATGGGATTCTCCCAGTAGACAATAATTCGGACTAAAAAAATAAGTATTCACACACAAAAAACTATACAGATATGTTAACTGCGTACGGGCGAAGGCGTATACCTAGTCACCGGCAATACAGCTATGTTTTTATGCTACGCAATTTTATCCAACGAAAAACCAGCTAACTCGTCTAACAAAAACAGCTAGTAATACATAGAACATGTATACGTAAACACTTTTTAGGAGAACAAAAATGTAAAATGAAAATATTGAACGGTCGGAAAATACAACACGGAGTGTAGAAAGGAAAAATACTTCTTTGAGCGAAAATAGTAAATGAAATAAAAAAAAAAAAATAGAGTGCGTCGCGTCGGTCGCCAAGGATCGAGGTTTTATTAGAATAATACAATAAGCGTATCTACATTATATTATTATTATACGATAGTGCATCTGTCGAAAAAATTACGGGTAACCCAACGTTGAACCTTACTGGTTTTCCGGTAAAGGTATATACCGAATTATAATAATATACACCGAGACGCGAGAGCTTTTTTCTTTTTATGCGCCACGGATTAGCATACGTCGTCGGCGTTCTATCCGTCCCGCACGTAGTCCCGGTCTGTATAGTATCGTATAGTATTGCTTTACGTGTTATGCAAATTCCATATAAAATCCATTTCCGGGATATCGGTTCCGATACACCTGCGAATACAAATATAATAATAATATTATTATTATACCCGGTGATTCCCCGTGGTTTTGCCCGTTAACCGACGAAAACCGGAAATAAGTAAGCAAAAGAATAAAAATGAGATTTTCGTATTTGTACGGCCATCCGATGATTCGTATGTGAGCTCCTTCATCCGCCCCCCGTTTATAGATCGATTTTCCAGAAAATACTTTCTTGTCGCACATTTGCGTTACAAGAAATATTATTGGAAACCAATGTGCGAGATTTTAAGTTTTCAGACTCTACCGTTCTTGAGATACAGTGATGAGACTTCGAGGGAGTGGACGCTATTTAATTTTTATGTAAAATTTATAATAAACAAAGTATACTATATGTTTGTTTCTCTCCGCCATAGACAATACTAGACGTTCGTGTTGGATGAAGCAAGGAGTAAAATATGTTTGGATTCGGTCCGTACGCGGTTTTGACGAACCGTTTGAACCGACGATCATTTCGTTTTGAACTAGGTTTAAACTCCGAACCGGGTTTAAACCGCTGTAATAAAACGGACCACACAATGTCTATAAATGTATAGGGGTAGCGAAAGCGAATCCGCAATACGACCGGCCGTGTTGCACCGCCTACATGTTTACCATAACAAATAGGTTACCTATCTAACTGATCCTAAGAAAAATAGTATGTACCTACCCCTTTCGAAAACTAATCTTTAATGTTTATGTGTTTGATTTTCCCGATCAGTTAAATAACTTATTCGCGCTGTTGAGCATTAACATAATACATTTATATTAGTTTGTTTACGTGCAGAATTAGTGTTGTGGGTTTAGGCGCACATCGAATTCACAGTGTGTATGTGTGTATGTGTACGCGCGTAAAAGATTGTTTCGTGTCCGCGGCGGAATGCGTGACAGATACGCTTTTCGTGTTTATCCGGCGATAACGTTTGTTTTGCCAAAGGTATAGCCAAACAACCGAGGAAATTTCGTGCTCGCGTCTTTCCACCAATGTTGCTATGAATTTGTATTTATTTATATATATATATTTTTTTTTTTTTTAAGAGAGTTATCGTATAACGACCTTCACGAAACTTTTTATGTCTGTCTTATGGTTTATAGACCGAAACAAAAATTAAAATAAAACATCCGAAGTTGTAAAAAAAAAAAAAAAAACAAACAAAAAAAAAAAATGCAAATCGTAAGCAAATTGGTAGGTATTTCAGTATTAACTACCGAGATGGATACGATTTGTATTACGGTTTTAGAGGCATTGTAACTCGTGAATAACTGAAAAACACCATTGCCAAACACAAGATTATATTATTACGCGTGAAAACTAAAGTCGAAATTAATCAACGTTTTATTATATAATGACGAACCAACATCACTACTTCGGAACGACGAATCGATTGTTGGGTTTTTTTTTTTTCATTCGCCCGGAAACGGGTAATCCCCTACTCGCCGACCACGGACGCCCGAAAATACCACGGGCCGCGGCCCGTAAAAGACACTAATGCCGTGCCACTGTTTAAGGCGCAAACGGGCGTAACTCTCGGGGACGCCACTCGCGGGCTGAACGAGAAACCGGACGTCGAAACTGTGATTTTCCCGACTTAAAATGACCGTATAATCGCGTCGCGGAAAAAAGAAACCGAAATTGAATACGTGCGCAGTTTATACGCGCGTGTGTTGCGGCGGGTCCGCGGGAGATCGGTGGATCACGATAAAAAAAAAAAAAAAAAAAAAATTAAAAAAACATCCTCGCACTGCGCTGCTGCGCGGTGTAAATTCTTCTCTTTACAACTCTCCAAGGTCGCATTTTTTTCCGCACTCGATAACGAGCCACGCATAGGTACGTGATTACCGCAACTATCTAACAACACTGCGACTACTTCTGCTGCTGCCGCTGCCTCGTCGACGGTAATTATTATCATACGCCGTCGTCGGACGTCGCGTCGAAACTCACGTTTTTTTTTTTTTTTTTATTATTATTATAAACGCGTATTACATACTGCATTATTATACAGTACGCAGCACACGCACCGGGGGCAGCCGCCTCCGAGTTCGGTCCGAAATACATGTATACACATATATTTTATTTTTTTTTTCTAACGACGACGGAATCAGACATCAGACGCGATACATCTAATACTATCGTCGTAAAAGACACGACGTCGTTGATTCAAACGGGATGACCGATGAAAATCAGTGTCCGTCTCGAATTGTCGGTACTGAAAAGCATTTGAAACGCGGGTACTACCTGCTATTGCGAACACCAACGATATAGAAATGAGGATATCTATCTAATCAAAAATGCACCACGCCCGCGGGTAATCTTAACGGAGGATTAATGAGAAGTAAAAGGAAGAGTGTCTGTGATAAGGGAAAGGAGCGTGGCGTGCGATAGAGAGAATGGTTATGACCACAGGAAGTAGAGTTGAGTTGGTACAGCAAACAGATTATGTCTTAGAAGGGGACTTTGAAGGAAATCGATTCGTGTAAGTCGGGTGCGTATAGGGATACGTCTTGTAAATAGCGGAGATGAAATGGAGATCCGCTTTAGGATGGCGGCAGCAAAGAGAAGAAGGGACGTTTAAACCGGAACGGATACGAGTATATAGCCATAGGCTAGGGTAAGGAAGCTCGAGAACAAAGGCGGCGTGGACATATGTCCTGTGCATGTATATTGGTACGTTTTCGTAAAATTCCATTAATTATAAATCGCCGGTTGAATATTACATAAAGGACTTTGGGAATTTTTTTCAAGAGTAAAATATATACATAATTATGTATAAGCCTTTTAAATATTATCACTCGTGAAAAAACTTACAGGTGCAGAACATTGCGCAAATTTCTCAGCCGCCAAGTTAACGGGTATAACGTCACTGGGATGGTGACAGCAAACTTTTTAATATCACTATAATGCTGATTTGAATAATGTAAATAAGTGCAAGCGAAATAATCGGCAAACTAGTTATGGCTCAGTTTTTATTTTATTTTTCGCTATTCCCGGATTCATTGTGGACGTACTTAGACAGTACAGAAATAATGGAAAAAACCTTTGTTTGTGTTAACAGAATTATTTCTAGTAAAACGAAAAATTCGCGGTTTTCTCGATCTAATTTATTTCATGTATACTCGCTCGATGTCAGTTATTGGACTTACGGCAAAAAAAATACTATGTTGATTTCTTGTCGCTTTGGTCGGTACTGCAATAAATATACCGTATTTATCCCAGCTAACACTCCGTACATTCTTCTTTGCATTCGAATTTCTAGTAAAGTATCTTAAGTAATAACCTGCAAATATTCGCGTATAAATCGCTGATGATTCTATCGTGTACGTCTTACGGTATTTTCTTTTGGGCACGATGCTTATCATACCCGCGTCTGTAAACTCGAAGCTAACTCGTGCATTTCCTCCTATCAAGTTTCTATTTAATAAGCGTCTACTCGACTACCCTAGTAAACTAGTATAACGAACATACCTTCTCTAATTTGGAATTCATCTTTATTTTGATTTTTTGAACAGTGGTTTTCTAATACAAAAGTTCAATCAGTCAGCCATCCCATATGTGTAACGCTCGCCATAGAAAAAACACGAATGCCTTTTTTTCCTTCGGAATCGCCGGAACTGTTTTCTCCCAACCTGCACCGTGTTATTTTCTTTTTCGTACAGATAATAAGATTAATGTAAATAATGTTTTCTCGTTTATAAACTTCGAAAAAAATACCTTATGTCAAAAATTAGCTTATAACGATGTTATTGTTCAATAATTTCTTGTTATACATTTTGTCAATTGTCGTCAACACTATAGTCTTAAGTTTTCTCATTTTTGTGTCTTATTGTTTTTCTTTTACTGTTTTTTGTTACATTGTTTGGATATCGTATCCATTAATTTGTCAATTCTTACGCGTATGAAAGTTGATTGTTTAATATTATTTGTATTTTTTTGGAACTTATTAGTCCAGTCCACGGGCTTTGATTTTTAAACAAGTGTAGTACTGTGATACCTGCATTCAATCTGTATTTATTTTCTGTATACTTTATTGTGACAAATATATTATTATTGTTATTACTAAACACTTGAAACAAAAACGATAAGAATAAAATTAAATGAATTATTGTCATTTGTTGGAATTCCAAGAGTATTATTAATAATAATCGCAGTGAGAATTTTCAAACAATACAACATCACGTCGTCGTCACGATATAACAAACAATAAAAACGAAATTGTTTTCAGTCAGAATAGTCAACGCGTAACGTTAAGAATTCAAGAGAGGAACTGAATTAATTTAAATTTCACTAGGTCGTCTTATGGCTAAATAACTAAACGGTTACCATGTGAAATGCGCAGGGTCGTGAAGTGTATTACAAACAATTTGTTTATAACGTTCCGAATTGAAATTAAAATAAAATAACTAACATCAATTAGGTATTGTAGACGATTAATTTATAGTATTCGCTAATACTATGTTCCGAAGAACGAATTAGGTATAACATGAAAAAAACAGTCCGATACTTTTTGAATAAAAAAAATTATCGCTATTTTTTTTTTTTGCACCAAGCGCTTTTACCCCATTTTTTTAGTTAAATTTTGATTTTTGGAATTTTTAAGTGTAGTTAAAATCGATATTTTCGATTACCTAGATTTTTTATGACATTTAAAGAGTATCCTGTGGCGATATCAACTTTGGTTTTTCAAACGAGAACCTTTAATAAAAATTCCATAAATAAACGTAGTATTACTTTAAAAAAATAATGTTGGTGTTAAAACCGTTGTCTTCCATCACTCCGTTGACGGGATATTTCACGTTTAAGTTTAGGTAGGGGGAGAGTTAAATTTTAATTTATTTTCACAATTTTCATACCTGCATTAGAAATTTGATTATTCACTTGTTCGTATCGCCTGAACAATTTCAAAATACGGAGATACGCCCGGTTCTTGCACCCGGACCCTTCGCCGCCCGCATAGTCGTTTAGTCGCGGGTCATCCGACACGCCTACAAGAGTCGGCCGAATCGTAAAAAAAATATATTTTAAAAAACAACCACTACGACATTAAATCGCTCGTAAATTCAAGCGCAATATTCGTCACTGGATTGCGTCCGGCCGGCCTGCAACGTGCCGTGTAATAAAATATTACACCGCGCACGCACTTTGCGTAAAGTCCAAACAATTGTTTAACGTTATGGCATGACCGAAATAGTTTGGCCGCACTTAACATAATTTACGACCTCATTTTTCGGTGTAATCGTATGTTATAATATTACAACAGCGTTTTATTTACATTGAAACGCCGCGCAAAGTAAAACACGGTGTTGTTCCGAAACGTTTATTTCAAAAGTGAGTTAATTAGGTTCGGTAATTTTTTGTCCGCTGCTGTTGTTTTTAGTCTTTTTTTTTTTTACGTCATAATATTATTTTTTCGCACGTTGATTTTAATTTTAATCGACGCCGCGCGATGACGATTATCGGCTGTGTTACAAAGCTTTCAACGTGTTATCAACTCGACTTGTTTTCTAAATCCGCGACTATATGATATATATTTAACATTGATGATTTAAAAAAAAGAAAAAAATCATAAAATTTAAATTTAATCGCTTTCATTATACGGTGACAAAAAAAAAAAAATAATAATAATAAATTTAATTTATGATAATTCAATTATATTTTTCAAATTAACTCATTTTAACTGGATTCGATCGATTATTAAAACAATTGAATTTTGACGTTTTTAACTAATATTATTCGTCATAGTTTGTTGTCCTGTGCCGCCATTTTTTTTTATATAAAATTTAATAAACCCATAAGATATATACGATGAGAATATTTTATTTCGTATGATTCGATTTGAAATAATATAATCGCGTTTAAAATTTCGCGAACAGAGTAAAATATTAAACATCAATGGTTTTACTGCTGTGTTCGTTTTCAGTTAATCCCGACCGCAGAAAATATTCTTTAATCGATTTCAAAGATTGCGGATTTTTATGTTTTATTTTTCCTTAAAATCCTACAGATGTCCTTTGTCAAAGGATCTACAACTAGTGAAACGCACAAAGTTCGAGAGCACACTATTTTAGATTAATGTCCGTCCGCCCGTCCTTCAAAGATGACGACCCATATTGTTGAAAATCGATTTTCGGAGTAAATTTCGAAGTTGAAAACACGAGATTATTGATACGTTACATTAAAATATACCGCTGTCAATAATCTGATTAAGGAATAATATTAATTTTAGGCGAAATATTTGAAATGGTTTCCACTCGATGACTCGCTAACGACCGTAAAACCGCATAACCCATAATTTATTTTTAATGCTTTAGGTATGATATTCGTATCTATTATTATAATCAAATGGCATTACGTTAAAGTACTGAATTTTAAATACCGAGTGTGGTGAATTAGAATGGGCCTAGCTATGGTTGAGGTTATGATGAAGTAGTGGGACAGTTGCTGTGCCAAACAGCTGATTTTATGCCGTTTTTATTTACTATCACGGCCTGGTCGGGAAAACACTGTGTTTTTGTTGTCGATCAAATTATTCGGAATGTTATAATCGGCATTCCGAGGACAATGATTCCGGAGCGTGTTTTCTCCACCCGGGGTGATATCGGGCGTCCACAACGTTTGCCAAATTCAACCACATGCGATTTTATATTTTTCCTCTTGGGATAGCCTCATAGTTCAAGCGTACCTGCATCGTTCTCAAATATAAGAAGTTCTAAACGAAGCGAAAACCCTGGAAGTCACTGCCGTTCCACCGGAAATAACCAGTAGGATCACGGATAACTACCAGAGAATGTGTATTGACAACGCGCGAGTCGCCAATTTAAATGATATACGTAGTTTTCAAAACTTTGTCCGTTCAAAATCATTGCACGCGTGCATGTTTTTTTCAAAAATCAAAATGCTTTGTAAAATAGCTTCCGGAATCGATTAGCTTTTCCGCCACATCGTGTACGTTAAAACTTAATGAATTTTTCCGTTAGACTGGGTTTAATCGTTTTCGTTGAGATTAGCACGCGCGTACACAACATCGCCAGATAATAAACATACCTAATTATTAAACACGTAGGTATTACATGCGAGTGAGTCATATTATACATATTATATAGAGCAGAATTTCTTAAATTTAAATATTAAAATATTTCCCAGCCCCTCCCCATGTAATATTTAAATAGCTTTCAGACTGCGTTTATAAATAATTTTGATTTATTTCGGCGGGACGAAAAGGTTTTTTTTTGTCAAATGAATAAATCATTTTGTAAAATGTTCTATACTATTTACCTCGCGCGAGTATATACAACACCATAAGCTATATCCGTTTTTTAGAAAACAAAAACTTTTCTGCGCGAAAACCATTTCCATACTATATAATAATAGCCGACCCAAAAATGATACCTTCTCTCTGACACACTGCAGTGGTGTGAGTCGTAATTTAGCTTGCCTAAATTCAATTTTAAAATTATGTCAAATAAGATTTATGATATTGAATTTTTTATGAGTTATGATTATAAGTAGTACTTATATTAGAGATAATTTATAAGGCTTACCGTACATTTTACTCATCACAAACATGATTAAACATCCAGATAAGTATAATTAATTGAGTATACAAAACTGCATTTATAACGATTTTGTTTCTACACGTTCATCCCGTTTAAAACGGAACACGTAGGTATGTTGATTTTTTTTTTTTGGATAAGGGTATGGTCATTGATATACCTTTCAAAAATGCATTTCTATAAATTATTTAACTTTTAATCCGGAAAGCTTACAATTTTTTAATATTTCCTAAGTATAAAAGCGTATAACTTATTATTCATCAATTTTTACACTTCTTCACCGTATACATAAATTAAATATACGGTTTAACTTCCCAGTTTTTCAGATCCACATCAATATTTTACGGAAATACCGGAAAAACCTTTTCAAAGACATGCAATTCGTAAAATAATTCATTTTACGCAAGTGTAATTAAAAAATGAAACAGCTTTACGACACTCAGTGGATCCTGACAAATATTTTGACGTAACAATTACGAAAATGGATCCAGTTATTCTCGATATTACCTCATTACTTCCCTCGAAACATTTTTCGCATTTCAACGAAATATCAATAATCTGAAAAATTACCCCGAACTCCACAACGTCTTAATGAAAAAGCTTAAACGATTGCGAAATTTGGACTCCTCAGCGTCCTTAAAACACATATAATAAATTAATATAAAAAACATAAATAATGAAAAACTGTAAAAAGTACCCGCCCACAGCCCCCCTAACTAACAGGACAACTGATAAACGAATGAACGATCTGTGTTCAGCATCCTCATAACTGATAGGTTAAATGTACTATATTATCATATAAATTAAAATTCAAGGGGAATTAATTTTAGCAAGCTAAATTACGATTCAGACCACTACACTGTGCGACAGGGCTAGCTTGCGTACTATATTATATTTGTATCCTCGAATTCACCGTGCACGTTTATATAAATACAAAACACTAATCAATATTTTGTTTACGGAATTTGCATTTTTTTTTTATTTTTTATCATTTTCCGTATCGCCGCAGATGAAAACCACGCTGCCACCACCGTCGTCGCGAAAACTAGTTTTTTTTTTTTATCGCAATACCATATTAGTTTTGTGGAAACCTGAATTTTTGTACCTATACACACGCGAATTTAATACTATATATATTGCGATGCGAAAAAGTGCGCAGCAATCAGACACTGGAGGCGTGTAGGTATATATTATTATACTCGCCGATCCGGATTAAGACCTCTGCAAAAATCCAGGACCGTCCGAGGCTTACGTGGGACGTCCCTCTAAAATAAACGTAGGTATTTAAATATATTACATTTGTATCGTCGGAAAAAAAGTCACGTTTTATACCCACAGTGTATAGGTTCGTGTCTATAATATCTGGGCTTTTTTTTCTTTTTTTTTAGGGGGTTTTTTGGGTTGAATGGACATACACAGTGGTCAAGTCCACTGGATACCCATGCAATTGAGTGATATTTTGCTTACTGCAGTGTGTACACTAGATAATAACATATGGTAAACGATTAAAACGGTTAGTTTTGTAACAAAATAATCTAAGGAATATGGCACTGGCGGTGGAACATGTTACTAAAAAAAGTCTAAATGTTAATAGAAATTTACGAAAATATTTCTTTTAATATTTTTAATTGTATTATTTTTTTAATGTAATTCAGTAATATGGTAAATTATATGTAGACTTGAAATTTTGAAAAATACTTAAATTTGCTTTTTGACGTGATAAAACCTTCAAAAAATTATAGCTATTTCTGGGCCATATATAAGTTTTTGCTAGATATCTGTTAATAAAATTATATGACTTGAGAGAAATGTTTGAAAATTTAACACAAGGTACATTATAAATTTTACTTATTAGTCTAATAAACAAATTTTAGTTTAATTTATTAGTTTTTTTTTTATTGCACGTTTTAAGATTAAATTTTAACGAAAATCGTAAAAATTACAGCGGTATTTCAAATACATCTCACCGAACTTCGCTAACTAATCGTTTTTCGTTAGCAATAGTTTGTCTTTGCGTTCTGGTACATAAATTAAATTACTTTATGTATCCTATCTTTCTAACTCCCCTCCTACAATAATGACTGCAATCGTCCTCAGGATCAGTTTATTTTGTTTTCAGTTTTTAACTAACGGCTCAAAATAATACACGAATAATTGTTTACCTATGTGGTAGTGCTCTGTACAGTTCGGTCTTTTCTGTAGGAATCCATACCGGTCCGGTCCGATTCAATTCATAGAGATGACAGAACCTAATTTATCATAATTCACACTTCGTTGGCCCATCGTCACTTCCGCTTCGCCTCTCCGTGTGTCTTTGTAAATATTTCCCGTTCCTTATTTCCTGAAGTTTGAGGTCTTCCTTGATTCGTTCATTCCGCCGTTGTCTCCGTCTTTTCTTGTCTAGTTTTCACATTGCGATCTCGACCGAATTAGTTGGATCCCTGTCCATCTAACTTGTCCCACTCAGCTTATTATTCGCTAACATTTACCTGAACCTTTTAAATAGATGCTTCTACTAAGAAATTCTGTCTCATTAAATATTGGTCAGTTCTATATGTCTATCTGACTCGTTTATTTCTGGACAATTTATTTTACAAAAAAAATCTTTCTCTTGATTATAATTATAATATCTTTTCGTTCGATTTTGTCAAGGCCCACGTTCCTAAATACGTGACCATTATGTCTCGTGTAAAACGAAAAATGCATTTCAAGGAACCGACAAGAGTCATAGAATTAAATTTCTCAAATGAAATTAATCGATACCTAAAAATAATGATTTTATACCATAAAGTCAGTATCTACTAATATTATATTATGTACCTATAACGAAAGAAACA